TGTGAGCACCCTGATCACCAGTGTTTTGAACTGTGCATCTGATAGGTTGGCTATCTCTTGGTCACTTAGAAGTATTGGCTGTAGGCTTTGAGCTGTTCTTCTGTTTGAGTCATAATGTTTTGGTCTGTTTGCACCTGTTACATATGAGGGGCAGAGACTTAGGTGTTCACCAGGGCGGGGTAACCCAGTAGCTTGGTTGTGACGGTATATGTGGGGACAGGGTCAGAGAGGGAGGAATGGCACTTGTTCCACTCTCTCTTGGATTTCAGGCCCTCTGCTGCTTCTCACAAGCTGGCACCTTTTTAATCGGTGCTTTTAGGCTTTATTTCCTGTTGCTGGGGCCCTGATTTGTGTTCTTTCTTTCTGCCCGTTTTTGCTTAGGTGTTCACCAGGGCGGGGCAATCCAGTTTCTGGGCTGTGATGCTGTATGTGGGGGCAGGGTCATAGAGGGAGCAATGGCATTTGTTTCACAGTCTTTGGGATTTTGGTCCCTTCTGCCGCTTCCCATAAGCAAATTGGGCCCTTCTGGTGCTGGTCCCGGGTGGGTGGACTTGTATTTGTTCTAGGACCCTGTGGGTCTCTCCAACAAACTCTCCTGTCTCTCCCAGCATCTCAACCCTCGCTAGTTTTTTAAATTGGTCCTTTTGGGCTTTATATCCCGTTGCTGGGGCCCTGGGTTGTGCGGTTTGTCTCACTGCCCATTTTTTGCCTGATTTATCTGCCTGCGAATGTGTGTCCACGGTCAGCCAACCACCTTATGTACCTTATTGGGTTTGGTGGTTTCCTCCCTGTGCCTGAGTTGCCAACCACCACCTCCTTCTGCCAGGACCCATCTCTGCTGGCTGCTAACTCCGCCCCTCTTACCGGTCTGGCTGAATGGTTCGTTGTTGTCGTACTTCAGTACAGTTCAATTTTCTGTCTGTTATGGTTGTGTTTTTGTTTCTAAATCTTTGTTGTCCTTAAATTTGGTTGTGGGAGGAGGTACAGTATTTCCACCTCTGCCTCCATCTGGGTTGGAAGTTGTCAGAGTCACCTTTTGAAGAGTTTTATGAGTGCACCACATTGAGTTGACCTCTCACCTTTCTTTGTGCCTGCTATGCCTTGTGTAGCACTGCAGTTCTGGGATTTCTAAAACCTGGATTCCATGTCCTGCATGTGTTCATGAAGCCCTTCAAATCATATGTTTACATCTGTGCTTGTGGGCACTTTGTAGGGAGGTCTGTGTTCCCTACAAATCTTAAGCAAAAATGGGCAGTGAGACAAACCGCACAACCCAGGGCCCCAGTGCTTGCTACAACATAGATGTTTAGGATGAATGAATTTATTTGTCTCTCCATAAATTTGAACTGTATTTTCTTAGCAGAATCCCCAGTAAATAACATTGCCCAAAGCTAGGTATACTTTGGATACTTCATTAATTTTACTTCATAACTGAGGTGAGCATTTGGTTATGTATCCTCTAAATATTTTCCAGTGTATAATCTCTCTGGCCTTATTACAGAATAAAGATCTGCAGGCCTTTAATGATCTTTTTTCTTGGTGTTAATATATACCCCCCATTGTTTCTGGAAGGTAACTTAGACCATCCCCTCAGAAAATTTCTCAGCTTGCTTTCAAGAGGTGGAGGCTGGCTCTCTAACCAGGCATCTGTCCCTGGGCCGTTTTTACGGGCCCTCGTTCCTATTCTGAGGTTGGTGACAGCTGAAGCTGATGGCTCCCCACCCACAGGCCCCACAGAATGGCTGCCCCCGGTTCTCTTGGGGACTGCTCTCTACAAGTCTTTGCCACTCTATTTACCAAAAACTAAGAAATGGAATAGATGGGTCTTTGCCAAAGACATGTGAGCCATCTATTCTTCAGGAGTAGCAGTCTGTCACAGGGTCTTCTGAGAATTTGATGACAGCTGATAGATCCTCATCTAAATTAATAGTGATTTTAATATTACTCACTAGCAGAGAGAGGGGGGGAGACTCCAATTGCTCACTTCTCCCAGGCATTCTTCTAATCTGGGTATAGATATTATTCTTTATGTGTATTAACTTACTTAATGCTGGCAACAACTCTGAGGAAAGTCCTAGTTTTATTCCCACTTTGCATTTGTAGAAAGAAACCTAGAGAAGTTAGTCTAAGGTCATGGAACTGCTAAGTGGAACAGCCTGTATTTGGCCCAGGTTACCTGGTCGTGGAATCTGAAGCTTTATCCAGTGCGCTCTGCCACTTCCCGCAACTCTAGAAACAAGCATTTCACCAACTGTCCATTCAAGGCCGAATTAAGATCAACCCCGGGTGAAGCAGGCTTGGGAAGCTGATGGCTGGGACCCAAAGGTATTGGCCCCCCTGAGACTCACCTGAAATGAACTTCTCTTTGGACACCAGAAGAGGCAGCTTTGTGAAACTCACTGCACCCTCCACTCCAGAAGGACTGTGTTAGTCTTTTCCTGCTGCTGTAACAAATCCCACAAACCTCAGGGGCTTAAACAACAGGAATGTATTCTCTCCCAGTTCTGGAGGCCAGCAGTCTGAAATCAAGATGTTGACAGGGTTGGTTCTTCCCGAGGGAAACATGAGAAGGAGCTGCTCAGGCCTGTGTCCTTGGCTTAGAGATGGCCCTCTTCTCCCTGACAGTCACCTTCCTTCTGTACATGGTCCTGTGTCCACATTTGCCCTTTTTTATGACATTTAGCTTCCAACCGTGGGAAAGATAAGAACCCACTGCCTGGGCTGTCTATGGGGCCAGAGTTATCGACCTCTGTACTGGGTCACAAACCAAAATTGATCATTACATGGTACCAGGTTTTGGAAATTTGCTCATCTGCATGCCAAAGACCCACCTTTCTCTTTCTCAGCCTCCTGGGAAGAACAGTGTACCCCTGGATTTCATTTTACCCATTAGTGGTGTCCAGGCCAGCATGGACTCTGGGTTCATTTACCCTTTGGTTGGAACGATGAGCACCGTGCCCAGACTGCCCACGCAGCCCTGTGTTTACAGCAGAGGCCTTGATATGGAGATAGAGCAAGTGAAAGGTGGTTCTCAGTAAACTGTTAAAAGGAAAACGAAGCAACCAGACACGGAGGGATTCTGGAGTACAAGGTTTATTGTTTAACGTGTACGGGCGCAGAGGAGTAAGTCTCCAAATTCTGAGCCTTGAACAAAGGATTCTTGGGGTTTATATAGTCTACGGGTCTTCCTGTCCACGTGACAAAAGCGGGATACAGAAGCAGAATGTGACAATTGTTCTATCAGCAGGGGTGCTAGTCGCAGCCCTACTGACTATCCCGGCTATCAGCATTCCCAGCGGGGGTGCTAGGTGAGTCAAAGTCTCCTAGGACCTCTCCCTTCATTTCCAGTCCTCACTATCCGGCCACCCGCCCTCCCAGACGGCCCCATCATTCTCTCTAGGGCGCCTGGGGCCTGGGCAAATAAAGGTTAAACAGAGGTTTTTCAAAGCTTCCCATATCAAACAAGGCTTTCACAGGACCCGATTCAGGCTTCTGAACCTCAAACTACTCCCTGCCTTTTGGCCTCTGCTAAAGAAGAAAGTGAATTTGAAGTATAGTCTGTGGCAGACTCTGGCCAGCAGAGTCCACCTGTTGTGACTGAAGACAAGAATAAATGCACAGGCTACAGCAGTCTTGTAGAGAAAAAGGGGACGGCATGGCTACTCTCTGAAGCGGAGAGCACCTCGATTCTTGCCAAGACAGGCTTTTATTGTTTTTCTCGGGTTTTACATCAAAGAAGGATTTATTATCTTTTACATAAAATATTATTGTCTACATTTCAGGTACAATCAAGGAAATGAAAATAACATGCAGAGGGGAAAGGTGGCAAGCTGATTAGCTCTGTCCTTGGGAGACCTCACACAGGCTTTGGAAATTGCCTTGAAGATAGACAATACACATTTGTTGTTTCAGAACAGGGTGATGCAGTTTTAGCAAGAGCAAGCCATAACAGTCTGCATGCATTTTCTAGGCCTGATTCCCATGGGAAAACTCGGTTTGAAGGTCTGGCTCCTGCCCAGCACTTTGCATCTGCAGGTTTTCCATACAGGGCTGAGTCACATTTGCCAGACCAAAACAAACTGGTCCCCTACAGTAGTCATTATTGCAGTGCTGTAGAAGTGGTGGTCACAGCTGAGCATAGTGTTCAGTCAAAGGACCTCCACCAAGTTTGAAAGAAACGGATTTTATTTTCAGTTTCTTCAGAGTTTACATTATTCCGCATTGCTTACCCTTGAGAATGTTTATTGTATGGGGACCGTGCAATTAAAAGCAAATGAACTAAAAGGTAACATTTTCTCAAACCCCACAATTACCCCTTTTTATGAGGACACCAGTCGTTCTGGATTCAGGTCTTCCTCATCTAACTGACTACATTGGCTCTGACCCCACTTCCAAATAAGGCCACATCTGAGACATGGGGAGTTGGAAGTATGGTATATGAACTTCGGGGAGACGTGACTCAACCCGTAACACAGACCCACTGGGAAAATTCTGATCTTTAAATCAAGAGCTGTGTTCATCAGAGTCATGGCTTTGCTTTACCAGAGTTCTGAGTGCCAGGACCCCCAGGACTGCTCACGCTCTGTCTGCACACTGGCTGCTTTAAAGGGCCAGTCCAGGTGGCTCCTCCTCAGTGCTGGGGGGGTTTCACGCTCTGCTTTCCATGGCCTTGATTCTTTTGGGGGCTGTTTATCTAATTTCTCACCTTTTCTGATTACTTTAACTTGCAGAAGTTGTATGTAGCCTGATGAGTCACTTTAAATTGTTTTGGGAATTGTGAGCTGTATAATTAAGCAAAGAACTTCATTTTTATTTCTTTGGTTCTACTTTTCCTGGCTATTCTCTTGCTAATTCCCTTCCCTTTCTTCCGCAGGCTGGTCTTAGAACACCCTCTCACATTTAAAGTCAGACCTTCCTCAAAGCTTTAGTAGAATGGACAGGGTCGTTCTGGGAAGCTTTGCTTTTGTTCTCTGTTTCTGAAAACATTTCTTTTCCCTTAGGGAAAATCCTTAAGTCTTATTTGTGGGGCTCTGACCTGGCTCCGTGACTTTGAACAGAAGAAACACCAAGAAGAGGCAGGACTCCTTGAAACTGGAACTGCCCCCTTAAATGATGGGAAGGACCAGCCCCCATTTATTTCATCCTCTTGTCAAGAGCTGCCAGACACCCTGAGGCCTGCTGGAGAACCTGACTGGATTACGCAGTTTGTGCAGAAGAAAGAAGAAAGGGACCTGGTAGATCGACTAAAGGTGAGATCTGGGACAACAGGAAGTGGGAGTGAGCTAATAAACAGGACTACACTGGTTATTTTGGATTTAGATAGCATGTGTTCTTTGCCTTTGCAGTGCCTAGGAGCTAGCCTGGCAACTTTCTTGGATCAGTGGGGCCACACCCTTGCTGTCTGTCTTTTTTAAGATGATGTCAATGCTTAACACAGCTGTCTCTAGACCAGGGACTGGCAGTTCCCATTCATTACCACCTGGGAAAGGACCCTTCCTCACTGTTGCCATTGGCCAAAGGGTTTTGTGGCTACTAACTCAGTTAAGGAATGCATTTGATTGAGTGTGTGTGGCTTTGGAGGGAGTATACAGACTTCCTGCAGTGAGCAGTGATCCTGGGACCTGGCCAAGTTCAGGGTCTGGTGAGGAGTGCTGGCCAAGGGAGGCGGATTACCCTGAGTGAAGAGGCACTAAACCCAGCAGCCCCAGACTCTCTAAGAAAGGCCTTGGTTTGGGGCTTCCTGCTGGAGTCTCCTTTATGGCTTCTTTACCTTTTAGAAGGAGCAGATCAGGAGAAAGAAGAGAGAAGAACGCCTGCTGCAGCTCCGGCACAATACACAGCTCAAGTATGCAGCCAAACGTGAGGTGAGTGTCCCCTTCTGGAGTAGCTGCTTGGGGCCTCAAGGTGTGGCTCCTTTGGGTGAGTGGCTGGGACCTCGGTCTCCTCTGCCTGCCCTTCACTGGCTAAGCTCTTCTCACCCAGTGGTTGGGCAGCTTGAGCCGAGGCATTGATACCAATAAAACAGCAAGGCCCGCGTTAATGGTGTGTGTTTATTGTCCTGGGGAATAGCCACACTGAGGCCAACTCTGTCGAGGAAATGGAGACACCATTACTGAGTTGTTCTCTTTCCCCACTTGCAATGCTCCTGAACAGAGACTGGAAGAAGAAGAGACTGGGCGTCTCCTCCGCCTCAGCAAGGACATACTGGCCGCAGGAACAGAGGCTGAGCCGCCCGAGCAGCTAGCATCGGGGGAGGAGGAGCTGGTCCTCTCGGAGTACGAGAGTGATGAGGAGAAAGGAACAGCTAACAGGTGAGATGGCACTTCTGCCCCTCCCACTGCACTGCTGAGTCTGCAAGGAGACTTCCTGGGAAGCAGCTCCTTTTTCATTCTCAAAAAGAGGCAGGCTTCTTTGTCACTCTTAGGGTGTCTGAAGGGATGGAATGTCAGCCACTGCCTCTGTTCCCTCATTAGGGCTCCTCCTTAGGGTGCCGAAGGGATAATGACAGTGATGACCAGCCCCCTCTCTCTGCCAGGTACTGGCTACATGTGTGTTAACGCCATTATTTTCAGAACAGTACCTGTGTTTTCCCTTTATTTTTATTTTTTAATGATTATGCTATTATCAATTTAAAAATTATGAATAAATTATCTTTTATTGATTATGCTATTACACTTGCCCTGATTTTCCTCCCTTTGTCCCCCTGCACTCAGATCCCCCATGTCCACAGGTCATACCTGTAAGTTCTTTGGCTATTCCATTTGCTACACTATATCTTAAAGCCCCTATTCTGTAACTCCCTATTTACTTCTTAACTCCTCGCCTCTTCACCCCTTTCCCCTCATCCCCCTCCCATCTGTCAACCATCAGAAGGCTGTCCATGTTCATGAGTCTGTCTCTGCTCTTCTAGTTTGCTTAGTTTGCTTTTTGGAATTCAGTTGTTGATAAGCATTTTTGTCCTTTTGTTGTTCCTAGTTTTGATCTCCTTTTTCTTAAATAAATCCATTTAACATTTCCTATAATAACGGTTGGGGGATGAATAACTTCTTTAGTTTTTTCTTGTCTGGGAAGCTCTTTATCTGTCCTTCGATTCTAAATGATAGCTTTGCTGGGTAGAGCAATCTTCAAGGGAAGTCCACCCTTTTCATGACTTTCAGTACTTCTTGTTAATCCCTTCCAGCCAATAAAGTGTTTTCAGAAATCAGCTGACAGTCTTATGGGAACCCCACTGTAGGTAACTAACTGCTTTTCTCTTGCTGCTTTTAAGATTTTCTTTTATCTTTAACCTTTGACATTTTATTATGATGTGTCTTGGAGAGGGCCTCTTTGCATCCCCCTTGTTTGGGACTCTCTGTTCTTCCTTTTCTTGCATGTCTATTTCCTTCACCAAATCAGGGAAGTTTTCTTTCATTATTTTCTGAAAGAGATTTCTAATTTCTTGCTCTTTCTTTTCTCCAGCACCCCTGTGATGTGAATGTTGGAACACTTGAAGTTGTCCTAGAGGCAGCTTATCTACTATCCTCATTTTTTTAATTCTTTTTTCTTCTTGTTCTGGTTGGCTGTTTTTTGCTTCCTTGTGTTCCAAATCATTGATTTGGTTCTTGGCTTCATCCACTCTACTGCTGCTTCCCTGTAAATTGTTCTTCATTTCAATTAAGGTATTCTTTGCTTCTGGGTGGATATTTTTATGCTGCTGAGGTCCTCACTAAGTTCCTTGAGCATCCTTAAAACCAGTGTTTGGAACTCTGCATCTGATAGATTGCTTCTCTCCATTATGTTTAGCTCTTTTTCTAGAGTTTTGATCTATTCTTTCATTTGGGCCACATTTCTTTGTCTTCCCATTTTGGCAGCCTCCCTGTGTTTCTTTCTGTCTTAGGTAGAGCTGCTTTGATTCCATGTCTTGGTGGTGTGGTCTAATGTGGGTGTCCCTGTAGGGCCTAGTTGTACAGCCTCTTCATCATTCAAGCTGGGTACTCTAGATGCACCCTCTGTGTAAGCTAAGTGCGCCCTCCTCTTGTAGTTGAGCCTTGATTGCCATTAGCAAGTCAATGCAAGGGATTTACCCTGGCCAGTCAGCTGCGAGGACTGGCTGTGACCGCTGACCTGCAACGTCTGCTCTCTGTGGAGGATCAGCTAGCTGTACAGGGGTAGTGTGGTGGTGGTCTGACATGGTGGGTAGCGGCCCACTGGGTGAGTAGGCTCTGGGGTTTCCTGGGTGGTGCTGGCTAAGGTCAGCCCCCACCTGTGTTTTGCCCAGGGCCATCCTGTCAGAGTTACAAAGCAGTCTGAGATGGCTGCTATTTGTGCTGGGCTTAGAGTTGGCCAGGCAAAGCCAAGCTGTGAATCTAGGCTGTGTGCTGCTAGTGCTGGGCCTGGGGCTCAATGAGGCCAGCTCTTGCTTGTTTGAGAGGATTTAGGAAGTTGTGAAGCATGAGCCAAGAGCAGCCACTCATATGGAAAAGTAGCTCGGGTGGACCCGTAAGTTGGGTGGGATGGAGTCCCTGTGGATCTCCAGGGCAGAGCAAACAGTATTTGCCAGGTTGATGGAGTCTCATATATGGTGCCAGCTTACTGGCTCTTTCAGGGGAGGGTTTAGTTAAGGGACAATGGCCTCTGCTCACCTTGATGCCAAACACTTCAGTTTCTCCCTATATGCCACTGGTGCCCTTCAAGCTGCCCCCCTGGTGCTAGAGCTCAGGGGGAGTGAGTCTGAGTAGGTGAGTCTGTGTGGGGGCTGTTGAAGAGGAACTGCTTGGGGCTCTAGGAGTTTCTTCCACCAAGTCAATCCCAGCTGGTTTTTATAGCCAGAAATTGTGGAAACTTACCTTCCTGGCACTGGAACGGTGGGGTGGCAGGCCTGGTGTGGGGCTGGGACTCTGGCCTCCTGAGATAGCCCTCCTAAATTTTCATCTACCACATATGGGTGTGGGACCAGCTCATTCTGTGTGTCCACCCCTCCTACCAGTCTGGATGGACGTGGGTCCTTTAATTCTGTAGTTTTCCAACTTCCATTCAACTCAATTTCTGATGGTTCTGAGTGATGGTTGTTCTATATTTTAGTTGCAATTTTGACATGGTTGTGCAAAGAAGTAAGCCATAGCTGGCTGTATCATCTTCTTGACTGGAAGTCTCTTCTATTTATACCTGAGGACACTCTGGTCAGCAAGAAGTGATGCCTTGGCCAAGAATGCAAGGCCCAGAAGCGGAGAGCTGAGACTTGAACCCTCACCCCCAGCTGTAGATCTTGGGCTCCTAAGTACCAAACTGCAGTGGGTCAGATTTGTGGTTAACCCATTGAGGCATCCTTAACTGTTTTTCTTTTCACTGTCAGTCACCTTTGGTCCAAGTTAATAAGTTTCTAATTTATGGGCTATGACACATGGGTGAACTAGAAACACAGATAACAAGTAGGCATGTTTCTGGACCACAGTGCCCGTCATGAGATTCTCCTTTTTCATTGACGAATTAGCTTCCCAAATGACCTCTGAGTGTCTGCTCTGGGTGTGGCGCATTTCTAGATGCTGTGCATGCTGTGATATGGAGCTGAATAAGACAGATGTGTCCCCTGCCCTTCGAGAACTTGCGTTTAGTGGAGGGAGACAGTAAGTGTGAAAACAGCCCTTACTTGAAAGTAGCACATGTACCTCTGAGGGCAGTGAAGCAGCCTAAAGTGGGTAGGGTGTGGTTTGCACCTCCAGGTGGACAAGTCAGGGAAGGCCTTCTGAGGAGGTGATGTTTGTGCCAAGGCCTGAAGCATGAGAAAGATTCATGGGAAGAGCTGGAAGGGGAGAGTTGTGGTCAGAGACCTGTCAGTGCAGCGGTCTGGACATGGAATGGGTTCGGTGTGTTTGGGGAAGAGAAAGGAGGCCCGTGTGTCGAGCAGAGAGAGGTTAAGGAAGAAAGGAAGAAATGGCCAGAGATGAGGCAGCTGGTAGTGAGGCATTTGGGTGTTATTGTCAGTGCAGTGGGACTCTGTGGGAGGTTTCAAGGAAGGGAGTGGATTTGGACATTAGAAAGGTCATTACCACCTTGAGGTTCAGTGGCTTTTCCTCTAAGGTGTGAGTGCTCCTACAGATTATCCATCATAACCCCTAGCTCCGAAGAGGTCTTTCCTGTCCTCAGAAGGTGACAATAGGTTCTACATGTCCCACATTTTCATCAATGCTGTGGTCGTCATGTGTGTCTGAAGTGTAACTTCAAGGCCTAAAACCCTTGGTTGACTCTGGTTAAGGATAAACCGATGCTCTTTCACAGTCTGTCTGCCACGCAGCTGGATCCTGCTGTGCTTGTTCACAATGTGGCATGTGATTTCAATCCAGGCCTTTTCGACAAAGCTGACTGAACAGTTTTTTACTGACCAGGAAGCCGCCCCTGTAAATAACTCTTTCTCTCTTAGCCCAAGGCAATTAGCATTTCCACCTTTAAAAAAAAAACTGAATTGGCCTGGTAAACAACAAAAATCCATGTGATAGCCCTACCTTATACACAAGGAGGAGTGTATCTGTAAAAGGGTTTTGTGTCCATTCTAGGGAGCTTAAACGGATGATGTTGACTAATCATCTAGCCAAGTGTGACAGGGTTGAGTCACCAGTCCCCAGTGTTGATGAGCCCCTCGTTCACTCCTAGAAAGGGTAGACTGAGGAGAAGAGATTTGTCTGGTCATGAATGACGGCACCTTTTACTCACTCAGAAATGTGCATGGAGTTCCTTCTGTGTGTGGGGTCGGGTCCAGGGGCGGCACTCCACAGAAACAAGACATGCCCTGTGGTACTGCCTGTGGATGTGGCAGTGTGGTCAAGGAGACGGAAGGAGAAGGGACGGCTTTGAATGAGATGAGTATGCAGAGAACAGGGGCAGGGGCCGTGGAGTCGTATCACAGGGCAGCCACGCCTGCCAGGGGAGATGGAGGAAGGTGGCCCGGAGGAGGTGATAATTTGTAGAGATCTCGAGGTTGACTAGGAGTTGGCTCCGTCAGAGGAGGAAGTGAGGGCAGAGAGCATTCCAGGCACAGAACACAGCATGTCCCTGGCTCTGGGGAACTGAGATGAGACAAGCAAGTCCAGTTTGCTGGAAGTTGGACAGTGAGGGGAGAGGGGACATCAGTGGCAGTCAGACATTGAACCTTGGCTTTGGGAACACCCTGTCCTTTCTCTGTCCTCTCCTGAGTGGCAGTGGACGGATGGCTGTGGTGTCAGCCTGGGGCATCTTTGACTGAGGGAGCAGGCGAGCACCTGCTGCTTTGGTGGAACTTCCCTGCAGGGAGCTCTGACCTTCCGGCGCAGAGCTCCATCCTCAGTTCCATCCTTGTTTGTTTCAGTCTAGGGCTGGTCGCTGGCATGTGGTAGATGCTCAGTAAATGCATCTCTAGTTGACCCGAGTTCTCTGAGGAGACTGTTTTTTCGTGTTCTATTTTTCTCTCTCTCAGATTAGAGGAGGATGAGGATGACCTAGAGGAAGAACATGTAACTAAGGTAAGATGCCATATCCTGGCCTTCTGCTCTCCTGTGATTGGTCTTGAGTCCAGGGCTCTCCATCCCCAGGGAGACTGTGTAGTCCCTCCAGCCCACTGACTCGCCATCTCCCCAGACCCAGACCTTGGTCTGTAGGTGCTCACTGACCGGCTGGGCTGGGCTGGGCACCTGGGGAGACCTGTCCTGGGAGCAAAGCCTGGGCTCATGCATCCCAGGGCATCAAAGAGCAGGCGTCTGGGCCAAGGATCTGGGGTTTCTCTCTCCATTAAGGATGTAGGGAAGGCCAGGGCCGGTCCAAGTGAAAGTCGTCTGCCCTTTGGGTGTCTGATGGTGGGCTCCTCTTTTCATACTTTCACTTGCGTGGAGTGCCACGGTGCACATGCGGTGCCGACTGGAGTCATGTCAAATCATTTGGTTTCATTAATGCAAGACTTCTCTTTTCTCTGTGAAAAATTAGGTGTTTTCTCTTTTTCTCTCCTCACTCTTCTAAATCTTGGCACAGTTCAGAGAGAGTATTCAGCAGGGCCTCCTGCTTTACAGCCAGCCCATCCTCCAAGCCATTTGGGGGTGGGGCGTGGAACAGCCCCCCTCACACATTCCCCAGGGTCTTAGGAACCTTTGCCATGTCAAGAGTCACCACTCGGGGACATAGCCCTTCCTAAGATGACCAGCCCCTGCAGAATAGTGGGATTAGAGGCTGAGCGTGACCAGAGGGAAGAGTCCTGTCCTGTAGGCATTCTGTTGAACTTCAGGAGTGGAGAGTGAGGTGGGAAGTCCCTGGGCCCTGTGTTTGCCAAGATCTTCTGTGAAACAGTCACCTCGTCAGGTGTGTATTTCCGTGGCCAATCTCTTTGTTCGCTTAGCCCGGCGTCACTTAGGCCATGGCATTCCTTGATGTGCAGAGAGTATCTGAGGATGTAGCATCCTGTCTCCTTTGAAACCCCCTGCTTTTCCCTGGATCAGATTTATTACTGCAGTCGGACCCACTCCCAGCTGGCCCAGTTCGTGAACGAGGTACAGAAGAGCCCCTTCGGCAAGGACACCCGGCTCGTCTCCCTCGGCTCTCGGCAGGTAGGCAGAAGCAGGGTGTCCTGGCCCAGGTGCTGTCTGCTTCCTTCCCTGTGCGTTTGTCTTCCCCTTCCAGGCCTAGAGGAAGGATGGGTCCAAGGCAGGCCGAGCTGGGGGAGGAGAGCCCCTTCCCTGGCCTTGCTGGCCCTCGGAAGGGAACAGAGGAGGGCGGGCTGCTGTGTCGATGAGGCAGCCAGCACCAGTTCTTTAACCCTTGCTCCTCTGTTGTACAGACTCTGTGTATAAACAAAGAAGTGAAAAACCTGGCTTCTGTGCAGCTGATCAACGACCGCTGTGTGGAGCTGCAGAGGGGCAGACATGGTAGCCACCCCTGACCTAGAGGAGCAGCCTCCGCGACCATTTTTGTGGCCTCGGGCAGTATTGGGAGTCAGGGGGCTGGAGGGGGTATGGACCGAGGTCACAGGAAATACAGAGAGTATCTTAATAGAGGTGATGGTTTCTTCCTGAAGATCCTCTCCTTGGGAAAGGTTTTTTTTTGCTTTCTGTGTCAGTGTTCATTCTGAAACCCTGGCTTTGAACACTGACCAAAATACCAGAATGTTATGATGAGACCAAAATAAATAGTTCATAAAAGGGTTTTGTAGACTTGATTTTCCAGGCCAGCTCCTGGCCACAGGACAGTTACCATTCTTTCTGCCTCTCCACCCTCCGGTGCCCCGCACAGAGAACAAGAGCAGAGCCGAGGAAGGGGGTCTCAAGAAGAGAAGGAGGGAGCCCCAGGCTGCCTGTCCCTTCTACCACCACACTCAGCTGCAGCTTCTCCGGGACGAGGTTCTGCTGGAGGTGAAGGACATCGAGCAGCTGGTGACCCTGGGGAAGGAGGCTGGGGCCTGTCCCTATTACGGGAGCCGGTTTGCCATTCCAGCGGCCCAGGTGAACACCGCGGAGGGCTGGGCAGTAGGTCTTGGCTCCGACTGCAGCCTCGGCAGTGAGGGAATCCTTTACTCCTCTTAGCTTGGGAGGATGTCACCGGCTGTGGCTGGACTGACTGACTGAACTGCACACTGACGACACGTAACCCGCTCCCCTGGTACATAGGGTGGCTGGAGGCCCCCGGGGTCCTTGGTAACTGGGCTTCAGGGACTGTTGGCACCATGGGGCACAGCAAGCAGGTCAGAGCCAGGAAGGAGGGTGCAGGACTAGTTGAAACCACAGTGAGAGATGCCAGGACGGAAACTGAGAGGAATGGAGTAAGGGAGCTACAGAATGTACATCTACTTCCAAATGCCCTTCTAGAGTCACTGTCCTGACTCTGCACCTGCCTGCTGCATTTGAGCATCCTATTTTCTAGACTGGCCATGTGGAGGATAATTTAATTGAGAAAACCTGCCCGTTTGACAGGCCCAAACTGATGTCTTTGTTATCTGGTATGACTTACCTGTTTTCTCACTTCTCCTTCATTTGAGTGACTTTTGGAAATAGGCTATTATTTGTGGAGAGTTCTGTATTATCAAGAAAAGGTTAAAGTCGATTTTAAAGTTTCCGGGAAGTACATGAGTGAGCATCCACGTGGCACTGATTGGGCTTCGGCGTCCTGCCCTGCACTGTGTGTGTCACTCACAGAGGAGCCCAGGGGCCCCCGGCTGTCCCACTCGGAGGGTTAGTGCCATCCACGCTGTGTGCCAGTACGGTTTTATGTCCCCGGAAATCTTCATGATCTTGACTTTTTAAGGCGCTTTTCACCTCATACTGGCTTTTGTGGTATCTCATTGAGACAGCTAAGACAGGCGCTTTCTGCATTCTCCACACGGGGACCCTGGGGTCCAGAAGGGTTAGGTGATTTATCTGTTTTCTCACAGCAAGTGTGGAATGGAACCGCTGTTAAAACCTGGCTCTTAAGTTTCCGTTTTCCTGCATTTTCACTTTGCTTATCAGTATCCTTTAACTGGAAAGTCATCATAACACCACAGCCACGGGAATGCTTAAAGAGCACTTTATTTTTGTTCCCCCATCCCCACTCCTTAACTGTGTCTCAGGTGGATTCATTGAGTCCGATTTGCAGATGAGGAAACAAGGGTCATGAGGTTAAGTGACTTTGTTGGAATCGCTGGGGGTGGGGGAATGGCAGCTCCAGGACCAGAACCCTAGGCTGCCTTCTGGTGCATAAGTGGTTTTCACAGCCTTTCAAGGAAGCTTGGGTGCCTCAGGGCTGCCTTGGGGGCGTGGACATGGCTAAGCCGTAGGGGTTTCACTCCTGTCCCTCATCCCCATTCAGTCAGAAGGTAGATCGGCTTCACTTTTACGTTTTATGCATTTGACGCTCCACATAAAAGGTCTGAGGGAAGAGTCTGTTGCTAAAAGCACAATATGACGCATTAGCTTTCTCTCTGCACGTGTTCTGGGCAGGAAATAAAACTTCCCACCAGGAACTTGGAGCAGGCTGGGTGAACCTGCTGTGGAGGCTGTCCTGCCACCACTCTGGGGGCCACTGTGTCTTCCTCCCAGGTGGTGGTGCTGCCCTACCAGATGCTGCTGCACACGGCCACCCGGCAGGCCGCAGGGATCCGGCTACAGGGCCAGGTAGTGATCATCGATGAGGCGCACAACTTGATCGACACCATCACGGGTATCTACAGTACAGAGGTCAGCGGTGCCCAGGTAGGGACGCCCCTCTAACTGCCTGGAGCTGGGATTCCTTCAGAGACGGAGCTTGTTAGAGGTGCACTGAGTCAAGGCAGTGGCCTCGTGAGAGGCTGACTCTGGCTTTCCAGCAGACCTCAGAACTTGGGGATCCATCTGGCTCAGGCAAAGTGGCCCGTTCCCTTGATCTTCACTGGCCTGTGTTATGCTGAGTTCCTTCAGCCCAGGAGGCTGCTAACTGTAGTCTCCATGATCTCGGATAATGGCGTGAGAGCAACAGAGTCTGCGTGAAGTTGGATGTTACTGTTATCACTATTGCCTTGAGGGGATTTAACTGAGGAATGTTCAAGGTTTCTGAAAACCGCTATTTGTGTATTACCTAGTATGTGCCTTGCCTACTCTGCATGGGCTGGCATTCCCACTGTCCACTGAGAACTCAGACATGCAGAAAGGTTTAACCAGTGCCTAAGGCCACGCAGCTAGTAGTGGGGAGCTGGGATCAACCACTGCTTTCTGACCCTGAAACCCACATGACACCCCACCACATCTGCTGACCAGTGCCTGGGTTGACCTTAGGGCAGGACGTGATGGTTAACTTGAAACATCGCTCTAGCACACAATACGTCTTTTCCCAACCCAGTAAATATTAGCAGGGAGCTTCAGGACCTAGGAGATTCAGGCCCTGGCTTTTTGCCCTGGCACAAAGTGGACACTGTAGCAGAACATATTTTTGTTTCCCTCCCTCTCAGGTCCCACCAGCCTCAGGGCCTTTGAAACCCACAGTTTTGTCTGTTCCGAGACCCTCCCAACTCCCCAATTGCCTCCTGTGTGTCCCGGGCTGGCATTTTCTGGGCACAGACTAAGATGTCACTGGCACAGCCCCAGGCTGCTTGCCCAGAGCCTGGCCTCCCTTCACGCCCATTTCTTCTCTCCCCAGCTCTGCCAGGCACATTCCCAGTTGCTCCAGTACATGGAACGATACAGGTGAGACACCACCACCTGAGAGCGAAGGGAAAATCCCGCTGAGCCTCAGCGCCCCTAAGTGGGCCCCTGAGCCGAAGCACTGAGGTTGCCCACTCCGGCCAGGCTACGTGGCCATGGCCTCTTTTTCTAGGAGGGTGTCTGTAGCTTGGGAAGTAGTTTGAAAGCACCAGACAGAAAAGCCTCAGCTTGGGGCACCTAGAAGGTAACTGCTGTTGGAGTAACCCCGCTTGCCGTCCACTGGTTTGTCCTCAGGAAGCGTTTGAAGGCCAAGAACCTGATGTACATCAAGCAGATCCTGTATCTGTTGGAGAAGTTTGTGACTGTGCTGGGTGGTAAGGAGTCCCATGCCCACCCAAGTCCAGCCTGCTCAGCGGGCCTCACCCAGTTCCCTGGGTGCCATCAGGGCATCTGGGTTTCCCGTGTCCTCAGATTGTCTGGGCCATTCATTAGGAAAATTCTTATTTTACAGAGCTTGGTTTAATTGTCTGACTTAGATCTTTGTTTAGAAGCCTGGTTTATTTGCCACCAATCTGTGGCAGTAACAATAATATAGTAAAAGTATATGGCACTTTATGCAATAGCGATAGCAGCGTAGAGTGCTCCAGTGAGGAAGCAGCACAGGCGTGTTCACCCTCAGTGACCCAGGAGGAAAGGAAAGCTAAGAGCAGAGAAGTGACCTGCGTCTGGTTCCTGAGCCCTGTGAAAGGAACTAGAGTCTGCTGGCTTCAGGCGCCACAGGACTCTCCAACATTCTGTGCAACAGCCTTGTCCTTCCTCGGTGACCCCCCTGAAGGCTTTCGTAGAAGTGGAAGTCAGGAACGCCAGCTGGTTTGCTCTGCGGGATTGTGTGTCCTATTGCTGCTCTTTGCTTCCATCTCTGCCTTGCCCCTGTCCCAGTGCAGCCTGGGCACCTCCTGTTGGCACCTGTGTGAAATGGGCCTCTCTGTCCCTGCCTCCTTGGAGGAGGTGTGAGAGGAATGAAGTCACACGGGGGTCAGACTTCGAGGCTTCCTGGGACTTCCTGTGCTCTGGGTTCTAAACGCAGCAAAACATCTGCTCAAACACAGGTGTTCTTATTTGACTGGCCTGTGGTAGAGTGTGAGAAGATGGGGGTAGAGGACCACCGTCCTGACCTGTTTGCATTCTCTTTTAGGGAATATTAAGCAAAATCCCAACGCACAGAGCCTCTCACAGACAGGTAAGGGGGCGGCCCTCATGGGCCCAGAGCTGGTCTGAGCCAGTTCTGATCTTCCCTCTGGGGCCCAGAGCTGTGGGTTCAGAGCAGAACTCCCAGACTCTCATTCGTTTGCCCTTAGGGACCGAGCTGAAGACCATCAATGACTTCCTCTTTCAGAGCCAGATCGACAACATCAACTTGTTCAAGGTAGAGGTTTTACCTGTTTACATTAGCACATCACATCTTATCCTTACCACCACCTGTGGGCAGAACCCTAGGTTAACGTTGGAAGGAATGAAAAGTAAATTCCTTCTGTCCTCCAGCAGTCCAGAGGAATAAGTATCTACGGCACACGCATGTCATTTATCCTTAAAAAAAGCAATGTGTCAGCAAGAAGAAAATCCTCTTCCTAGGGTTGAAGGGTCACAGAGATTAGGGAAAAATGGCGCCTGCTTTTGTACCTGATAAGCAGAAGTGGGGAGGCCCGGGCCCTGCACCTTTTGTGTCTTCCTTGGGCACAGTGTTTCCTTGGGCAGAGCAGGAAGTTAATTTTGTGAGCACGACCCTGCCCTTGGGCTGAGGTGAGTAAGGACACAGCGGGGCCTTGCGGGGCCTTTCCAGGTTGCAGCCCCCGTTCTTTGCCTGCCCCAGGCCCACACAATCGGTGCCCCCCCAGGTGGGGCACAGCCACTGGCGCTGGACATGCAACCATTAGCAATTCTAGTTTCCCGAGTGGACCGGACCAGTTACTGTGCTTGAGGCTGTGTGCCAGCTTCTGTGACTCCAGGGCAGGGTGTTCCAGAGCAAAGGAAACGGAGGCAGGGTGAGGCCACATCAGGAGGGCAGCACACACAAGCCACACAAAGGGCGCAAATGGTGTGTGGCGGAGCCAGCGTGTGAACCCGGCTGCACACACTCAGGACCCTGCTTGCTTTCTGTGCTGACTTTGCGTTTCAAACCAGCTTCCCCCTGGCTCACCCACTGTGGTCGTGGTTACTGCCGTTATCCCCCTCCGCCAGGCTGGCAGTCCTGTCAGTTTTGAGTGCTTTCTTTTTCCCATTGTGTCCCACATCCCAACAGCTGCCTGGCCCCACAGCCTGAAATAACTCGCGTGTACCCCACCTTTTCATTTCCACAGCTCCTACTTCATTGCGGCTCTTTTTCCTCTGCCTTCTTTCTGGTCTTCTCATTTTACTTCATTCTGTTTCCCTTCCGAAGGCTTTACCAACTAGAGACTAGTGACTCTTATTTGAAAGGTACTGTTCTTTTCAGAAACCTTGAAAGGCTCCAAAGTCATCGTCTTGCATTTCAAGCCACATGGCTACTGAACCGCAGCCCAGGCCTCCCCTGAACAAGTCCCAAGCTTCACCTCCTTAGTGCTTTGGCTCCTAGGATTTCTTTTTATTTTTAAACTAACAATCCTTCAAGGTGCAGCTTAGGTGCTGTCATGTTGAGGGAAAGCGGAGGGGACAGAGCTATCACCAAGCACCTCTGAGAGGGTCGGGCCGTGCAGACTTCTCCGTAAGGAGGTCATGTGCGAGGCCTGGCAGTGGCCCTGCCATGGGAGAGGGCTGGGTGATGTAGGGACACAGGGAGGAGTGACCTCAGAAAGGAGGATGACACTATCACCCCCAGGAGGCTCTGGACTCCTGGGGAGGTGGTGGTGGTGAGTCCTGCTCCCTGGATTTTGGAAAGGGGTCCTTTTGTTTCTCAGCGTAAGGTTCCCACACACCTGCAGCAGGCTTGGTCTTACAGGTGCGGCGCTACTGCGAGAAGAGCATGGTCAGCAGGAAGGTATGGCCGCCCTCCCTTGGGACTTGGGCATGGTGGGGTAGCACCCAGCTTACTGCCCTCACAAAGGCAGCCCAGTCTCCACGGCCCCCACTGTGGCGCAGCCTTGCTGGGGTGGGGAGGGTCTGCCAGGACGCCTGGGGTTGCTGGTTGTACAGGGGAGGAGAGATGGAAGCCTCTCTACTGGCTCAGTCTCCCTCAGCACTGCTACCCTCATTAGTCTTCATTGCTCTCACCCCTGCTCAGCTGTATGGCTTCACCGAGAGGTGGGGGGCAGTCCTTGTACCCCCTGTGGAGCAGCGCAGACTGGCTGGGTTCCAGCACTTCCTACAGAGCCTGCAGCCCATGGTGACCAAAGGTGAGTCAGGAAGGTGGGGGCAGGGCCACAGGCCCTGGGCAGAAATGTTCCTGCCTCACATGTGGACTGGTCTTCCCCAGAGAACCACTTTAGCCCACCTGCAGAGCGGCCCTCTGCCCTTGTCTGTGGTCCCAGACTCTTCTCCTCCTGCTCTGTGCAGCTCCCACAGCCCCTGTGGAGGAGAGAGAGGCCATGGCACCTCGGCCTGCTTCCCCGCTGATGCACATCGAAGGCTTCCTTGCAGCTCTCACCACTGCCAACCAGGACGGCAGGGTCATCCTGAGCCGCCAAGGTATCTGAGGAGGAGCCCATCTGCAGCTGGGAGGCCAGAGCATGAAAGGAGTCTGCTTCCAGCCCGGCACCTCCCTGGGTCAGACAAGGAATCAGGGTGGTGACACCTAGTCTCCTATGGCCTGGGAAGGCGGTGGGTAGTGAGGAGGGATGCCGCTGAGCTGAGATGGTTGGCCATTTCAGGCGAGGGTGCAAGAGAAGCCATGCAGCCTCGTGGTGAAGGTTATATGAGTTTGCTTTGAGTCTTAGTTCCAGCTGCGTGCCTTGGACCAGTTTCTTTGTCTCTCAACCTCATATTCTTCATGTGAAAAGGGAGATAGTCGTACTCCCTGCCTCAGGGTGGTCCTGGGCAGCAAACGAGGTGTAAAGAGAAAGTGCTGTCGCTCATGCCTCCTAAGCGGACCCAGCTGGAGATCCCCTTTGCCTTGAATAGAGAGATGTTTCTCTTGGGCCTGTACGTGCCCCCTTCCCTTGTAATTGTCTCTTGTTTGTCTTTTTACCAGGCAGCCTCAGCCAGAGCAGCCTCAAATTCTTGCTCCTGAATCCAGCTGTGCCTTTTGCCCAGGTGGTAAAGGAGTGTCGAGCAGTGGTCATTGCCGGAGGCACCATGCAGCCGGTAAGGACACCAGGCTTGGCCTCTTGTACTGGATCTGTGCACTGGATCTGGATGGGACAGGGACTGGGAAGGGTGCACAGTCAGGCCTCTTCACCTCATCATCCCTTGGGCTCCCAACCCAGAAAGGGGTCGGCTTCACCAGGTGGCATTGCTGTGCTGTCCCCCTGCCCAGGCCTTTCAGGCCTGGGGACCGGGCACTGCCACGCTCCAGTGTCCCTAGCAGTGGGATCACACTTGTGCAGAGCACAAGTGAAGGTGGCGGCTCCTTCCTCTCACGAAGTCCCCTCAGTGCCCCAGCCTGCCTGTGGCCACCGTAGCTGTGACCTCCCCTCTTTTACAAATGTAAATACACCGACTGTGCTGTGTGCACCCCTGTTTCTGTGTGTACTGCACATGGGACTGGTATTCCCACGCTGCGTAACCATTATCCCCATGTACAGTGTGCATCCTTATGCTTCTCTCACAAAGTTGGGCAGGTATGTGCATTATACACAGCAAAATATGGAACTTTTAGAAAAGTATTATATTTTCAAATGTGGAAAACAGAGACAAACAAAAACAGGGAAAAGGATCATAATTTGACAAGCAAAAGATTCATTTTGTTGTGCACATCATTATAGCTGTCTTTGCGTAATTTTTACAAATACATATTTTTTAAAATGGTACAGTATTATCTGTATGAGCTATTGTTATAATTTGATTCCCCCCACCCAGCAACAGAATGCCATGCATGTTTTTTCTTCTCAACAAATAAGCATCTATTTGCCACGCCCTAGCCGTACTTTGTCCTATTGCATGGAACTGTTTTCTGTGGCTGCTCTTCTTCAGTGAGATACTCAGGTAACTCCTACTTCTCCTGTGTGAACGAAGGCGTGGTAAATGTAACCCATCCCTGCACAGCAGTTGTGTCCTTGGGAGACGTACGTCCTAGATCAGGACTTGGTGCTGGGAAAGCCCCTCAACACCTTCAAGCCGTCTGTGCCAACCTGGGCTTGTCCGACCACCCCTGTAGCTTTTTTTTTATTTCCATTCATTCTTGTGTATAGACTTGTAGATCTTAATTTATTTGTGTGTAAAATTGTAGCCCCTGTGGCTTTTGATGCTCAAGTTGTCTCAAACTTGGCCTGTGGGAACCCCCTAGCTGCCTCCGGTCCTCTGGGTGTGACCCCCATGGCCTTGGAAGGCCTTCCAGCTCGCTTGCTTTCTGGCGTGACAAGAGCACGCTGGGCCGCCTGATGCTCTCTTTGACCCCGCGTCCAGGGTGCCCTGGTTTCTATTACCAAGGTGGCTGCTGAGAAGCCAAGGTCTGGGTGCTGCGCTGTTTGCAGTGTTCCTGGGTGACTGTTTTTTATAGGCCTTTTCAGTGCAGACCTAGGAAATATATTTTCAGACTTCATGAGTCCATATTGATATTTCTAAATCAAAATCAATGTATTTGACTGTATGCTGTATCTCTTTTCTCTTGAGCTCAACTTTGGATTTCTTATATTCATATAATTATTTATTCACTCTATCCCACAATATACTCAAAACAGTGTCCAAAAGATAATACCAGTGTTCTAACAGTAAGCTGTTGATTAACATTTTATTTCTTTGCACTTAGTTTTTGCCCTTAGAGTACATCCTACTAAGGATATATATATGGTTGTTAAGGATATGAAGTCACGCCTTGACCCGTGTGGCTCAGCTGGTTTGAGTGTCATCCTATAAACCAAAGGTTGTGGGTTCCGTCCCTGGTCGGGGCACATGCGACAAGCCCCCAATCGATGTTTCTCTCCCTCCCTTCCCCTTTCTTTAAAATCAAGGAGCAGGTCCTCAGTTGAGGTTTTGAAAAAAGGATATGAAGTCACTTGGTATCAGGCTTTGTTGCAATTTGTTTTCAGTTTCAGTGTTTGCCTTTTTTGTTGACTTCATTCTGTTTTTAGAAAATGTAAACGTGTGTGGTTCCAAAGTTGAACCTGAAGAAGTTTTAGCAAGTCTCACTTCTACCCCTTTCCAACCTCTTCCCCATCCCTGTAGGTGATGAGCATGTTTTATTAGCTGCTGGTCTGTCTTCCCACTGTTTCATGTGATGTTTTGCAAAAAGAAGCAGATGTACGTCCTTATTCTTTTTTACTTACCTCAAAGGTGGCAGAACCTGCTTTTCTGTGCCTGTACGTTCTGGCAGTGCCTCCCTCCCAGTCCACAGCGGTGGAGGGGCCGAATTCCTCAGCTGGGCTGTGCAGGGTTCCGTCGGGCGGATGTGGCGCAGCTCAGGGGACCAGTCCCTGTGGAAAGGTGGCCATGCTCTCACATGTCATTTCACATGTCACTTCACAGGAAATACCCTTGTGCAGGTGGGGTTTGGTTTGTGGAGCTGAGTCTTCGGGGGAGACTCCTGAGTGTGGGATTGCTAGGTTAAAAAGTAACAGTGAACCTCATTTGTTAAATATTGTGCAGATGCCCTCTGCCTGGAGCAGCACCACTCTGTACCCCACCCGCAGAGTGAAGATGCCAGTTCCTCCGCAGAGTGGTCGAACATTAGGATCATTGCCCATGTGATGTGTAAAAAACCTGGATGGGATTCATTAAATAAATACAAAAGCCTAGTCATTCCCATAGAGATTCTTTATCTTTGTTTTTTGTTTTTAAAAAGATTGTATTTATTTTTAAAGAGAGAGGAAGAGAGGGAGAGAAACACCAGTGTGTGGTTGCCTCTCGCACCCCTCCTCCTGGGGACCTGACCCACAACTCAGGCATGTGCCCTGACTTAGAATTGAACCTGCAAGCTTTTGATTTGTAGGCCTGCGCCCAATCTACTGAGTCATACCAGCTAGGGCTCCCCCTAGAAATTCTTATTCAGTAGTTTGGGCTGGGGACTGGTTGTGTATGTATATATGCATATATTTAGATTCCCACTCCTGATTTTGTGGCACCCCCAGAGCTGAGACTCAGTGCTAACGTTGCCAAATATCCTTTGCCATTGCCACAAGTAGTTTGAATGAGACTGCCAACACTGGCGTCATTAAATTGTTTTTTCGTGTTTGCTAATTTATCAGCCTTTCCTTCAACCTCTCTTCTGTTCCTAGGCACGTGCTGCCTCCTCACCCTGACTTGTGTCTTTCCAAGTGATTCTCTCTTCCCCTGCCTGCCAAGGGCCCTGGGTCCCTGACCCTGGACCCCTGCAGGTCACAGAGCCTTGATGTTGTGGTCTTCAGGTGTCTGAATTCCGGGAGCAGCTGCTGGCATGTGCTGGGGTGGCAGCTGAGCGTGTGGTGGAGTTTTCCTGTGGTGAGGATCTGTGTCCAGGGTGGAGTGGGCCCCATAGTCACGTCATGGGCTGTACTAGAATTGAGCTGTATGCTGTTAGCAGGCCGAAGGGGCTGAGGGGACCACGGGATGCTAGCTGTCTGTGTCCCCCCACCTGCATGGGAGAGGCCTGAGCATCGCCGTTTTACTGTGCAAACAGCACGGGAGGGTGACAGTTCAAAGCTGCTGCTCCTAGTCTGCAGGACAGTCCCTGTGGCATCTGCCTCACAGCAGAGTCTGCACCTCAGGTTTCAAATCCTCCCTCTGCCTGCCCAGGTCACGTGATCCCTCCAGACAACATCCTGCCCCTGGTCATCTGCACTGGGCCCTCCAACCAGCAGCTGGAATTCACATACCTGAAGAGAGAGCTGCCTCACATGGTCAGTACCAGCCAGCCAGCTTCACCGCTGCCATCTTTGCTGGGGCGGGAGGGAGATTTCTGGGGTGGGGGGCATGCTGGCCAATCCAGAACTGGCACAGGATGAATAGTATCTAGATACTTATCAAGGAAGGTCTGAGTTTCCCACACCCCTCACCCCTTGGGCTGCTAAGTAAGTTTTCCTGACACCTCCAGCCTTCCCTGTAGGATGAAGCTCATGAGAAAGTGACTCAGTCCCTTTGCTTCTCTTGTCCTTTGGTTATATCGGTTCCTGCCTGGCAAGGAGGCAGGTGCTGGGACACTTCTCTAGTGCCATGCCTCGGGTTTTCAGTGCCCAATCTGTCACAGACAGTGCTTAATCCCAAGTTGCCGACAGGACATAGGGTGCTGGGGAAGGATGGCCTTGGCCCACACCCACAGCAGGTGCAGCTCTGCTGTGCACGCACGGTGGCGTGTGTCAGATGCTTCCTGTCACCAGGAGCACCCCTTGGGTGTGTTTGGTGGGGAGAGTGGCACGTTCCAATCTGATTCCCAGCCGGGGGGTGTTGCCCAGCTGCAGGCCTCCCTGACCGCATTCACCTGTGTGTCTCTGTACTTGGCTCTGAGCCCTAAGGTTAGGAGCCTTTTGGGGGTGTGGCTTTAGGAGTGGCCTCCTGGAGGGCCTTTGTCTTCTTTTCTTAGATGGATGAGACAGGTCGCATCCTCTGTAACTTGTGCAATGTGGTCCCCGGAGGAGTGATCTGTTTCTTCCCCTCCTATGAGTACCAACGCCAGGTCCATGCCCACTGGGACAAGAGCGGCCTGCTGGCTCGCCTGGCTGTCAGGAAAAAGGTGAGTTACCCTCAGCAGGACTTTCCACTCCTGGGGACATGGAACCCAGAGTTCTCCCTGGAATTTCTGGTGCACATCAAACCAGATGGTCAGGCCTCACGTACGGGCGCTTCTCCCACCACTTCTAATCCCCGATGACCACCCAGAGGAGTCTGTGAAGGTCCCCGGGGCTCTCTGGGCTGGAAAACAAGGCTTGGGCCAGACCTGTGACCCAGGCGTCCTGAAACCCTGTTCTGGGAAACAATTCTTTATGTCCAGATATTTCAGGAACCGAAGAGAGCAAGCCAGGTGGACCAGGTGCTGACGGAGTATTCCACGTGCATTCAGGTGAGAGGTGGAACTCCGGCTTGGGTCTAGACTGTGGGGTTGGCAGCTGAAAACGTTTTGATGGTGACCCAGCTTTGGGTGGTCCCCGCAGTGCCATGTTCAGGCAGGAGGCACAGTGACAGGGGCCCTGTTGCTCTCAGTGGTTGGAGGCAAGATGAGCGAAGGCATCAACTTCTCTGACAACCTTGGCCGGTAAGTAGTATGCTCCATGTCTCCTGGAACGCTGATACCCGCCCACCCCTCACTCCGAGCATCTCACCACCATGCTCCCCCAAGCCCTTTCCAATCTGCTGCCATCTGAGTCTGCACCTGGGCTGACCGGGAAGGTCAGTCTTCTGCATGGGGAAGTGATTCGGCAGCTTTGGGTTTGCCCCTTTGAGTCCAGGTGAAAAATGAGGCAGACACGAACTTTCTTGAACTCAATTCCTTGGTCTGGCTGGGATGTTTCAGACTAAAAACCCCTTTCCAGGTGGTAAGTTTAGGCTGGGGAGGCAGAGGTAGAGCCTCTGAGCACAGCTTGACTGAGGGAATGGTAGAGGCAGCTGTTGTGACTTGTGGGTGAGAACCCGGCCTTTTGTCCTGGGCCTTGAGGACCCCGGATGCTTCTGGCTCCCATGTGCCCCCACCCCAGGTGTGTGGTCATGGTGGGCATGCCCTACCCCAACATCAAGTCTCCGGAGCTCCGAGAGAAGATGGCCTACCTGGATCAGACCCTGGTGAGTGCCTCCAGTGTTGGAAGGATGAGGGGAGAGGGCAGGGAGAGCTCGGTAGCCCTGAGGACTGAGGTACGCTGGGACTTCCCACTGCCCCTTGCTGTGTGCCACTGTTTTCTGTTTGCCCGGAGGGATGGCAGTGTCCTCTGTGGCCTCTGGACCCACACATGACATCATCCATCCTATCAGCTGCTGGCAATTGTGCCCCGGAAGCTGACTGGTCTTGCTCACAGCCCAGCAGTGTCATTTTCTCAGAATGCTAGGCAGGAGGCAAGAAACAGTTCTGATAGGTCATCTGCTTTGCCCTTCCCAGCCCCGGACCCCAGGTCAGCCCGCCCCAAGTAAAGCTCTGGTGGAGAATCTGTGTATGAAAGCTGTCAGTCAGTCTATAGGTGAGCCTGGGACTGCTCCTCACTTATCAGGAAGGACTGCTCCTTCCCTGCTGGGGAAGGAGGGAGGGAGGGAGAAGGGATGAGGGAGGAGATAGGATGGGGTCTGTTCCTGGCCATCTCTCCATCCTGGGGGCCAAGGAAGGGAAAGGGACCGAATAGCAGTGCTCTGTCGAGAGGCAGGTTTGATCAGAGCCCCAACCTGTTCCCGTCCAGGCAGGGCCATCAGGCACCAGAAGGACTTTGCCAGCATAGTGCTCCTGGACCAGCGGTATGCACGTCCACCTGTCCTGGCAAAACTGCCCACCTGGATCCGAGACCGTGTGGAGGTCAAAGCCACCTTTGGCCCCGCCTTTGCTGCTTTGCGGAAGGTCAGTCCTGCCTTTCCCTTCTCAGCAAACTCCCCACCGACACCTCCATCTGGTGTTTCATGGTCTTGCCCTATCTCCTCAGTTTCATCATGAGAAGTCTGGCCTCTCCTAAGGAATATCCACACTTGTCTGGCATGCAGACCAGGCCCCTTCTGCAATCACCAGGCCGCCAGGACCCAGGAATAGGCGTAGAGGCCAGTTGGTGAAAACTAGGTTACTTGGGTCCCAGCCATCCTTGGGCCCCTCCCAGAAACTGGATCTGCCCTCCTGCCCACCACGGCCCAGTGTCCTCCCTGCCCTCCTTCCTGGCCAGCCTTCCTGGGCAGCTGTGGAAGCTGCACCTTCCACCGCATCTCTGGCCCTGCCTGTTTCTCAGCGTCCAGTTCGTCAGAGGTGAGGTGGAGCAGGCCTCTGCCGCCTCCCCTTCTCCTCCTCTCCCTTTCCCAGCTCAGATTGGCTGTTTGAGACCTTCACCCTTTCCTCAAAATTAGGGGCGTTCCCCACTCCCAGAACCCCTGGTGTCCAGGGCTCCTCGGCCCTCAGGCTTCTGGTTACTTACTGCATCCAACTGCCATCTGGGCATTAAAAACCACCCCTGGGAAATCCGGCACTGAAGTCACTGAGAACTGGGAACAGGGCCCCGTGTGTTGCTGCGCCACCTGCTGGCCTCACCCCTTTACTTCCAGGCTGCTCCCTAACCTGTTCAGGCCCTGCACAGCACCCTTATGCCCCTGGATGAGTACCAGGTCCTGCAACTCAGTAGCACCTCTCCCCCTCTCAGCCACCTGGGCAGACTCCAAGACACCTCTTCCCCTGACACCAGCAATTACACCAAGGGCCATTAGGCTCTTAGCATGGCTACTTTTAGATACTCTGTGTCCGTCAGCCAGGCAGTTTTTCCTCTGTGAGAATACCCCTGCCCCCAACTGCAACAACTGCCCCTGTTGACACCTCTTCTCTCCCTGACCCCAGAGAAAGGGCCTTGGTCGGTCCCCTTGGCACCTGGCCCCATTGCCTGAGACCAGTGGGAGCAGGTGCACAGGCCCTGCCTCGGAGAAGTTTGCATTCTGCATGGCTCTACTTCTTTAATTAAAAGTGTACTGCTGGTTGATGGCTTTCTGCTTTCTACTTCTTTATTGATTTGTGCACTGCTGTATCTCAAAGTCTCAGGGAAGAGCAGAGCACACCAGTGAAGGAGGTGGGTGGAGCACAGGCATGGAGCCGGGAACCCTCCCCCACCCCTCAGGAGCCAGCCTCCCTCCCTCCTTGAAGCGGGCCCAGCCACAGCCCTGGTGGTCCTCCAAGACCCCCGTCCCTCCAAGGGCATCAGGGGATGAGAGACCTGCAGACCAAGGAGCCCATCCCAACTGCATCCATGTAAGGGCAAGAGCCTCAGCCTGGGCTTGGGAAGAAGAGGGAGCCGCTGAGCTCCTAGGACTCCCAGTCACGGTCATCGTCCTCTCCAGGTGGCTGCTGTGGGGGAGGCAGAGGTGGGATGGAGTCTGACATTCGAGTGGAGTCTTGCCCCTCCCTGGCGCTGGCCCCGGCCCCAAGTCTTTTCTGAGAGATGCCTGGAAGGGAAAAGATGGAGGGTGAGGGGGGTGCTTTGGGGCACCAGCTCACCAAGCCCCTAGAGACTTAAAAGCTCCTGGAGACCTAAGGCAGATTGTACATGGCGCACAAGCCCCGAGTCCCCCGGAAGGCAGTGGTGCTCCATCTACCTCTGCGCCTCAGGACCAGCTTGTTGGAGGGATGTGACGTCAGGCCCCACCGTGGCCTGTGGCCCTCACTGCAAGGTTTCTCCTCACAGGGGACACCACCGGCAAGGAAGGACGAAAGGACCAGGTATGAAACCTGCTCCTGGGTGACAGCCCCAGGGTTCAGTCACATTTGTCCTCTTTTCCTTCATCACTGACACACCACCCCACAGCCACCGGGTCACCACCAGCTTCTGGACCTTCAGTCTGTCAGTGGAACCAGCACCAGGGCACCGATAAGAAAATGGTTAACGTTTAAGAAACACCAGCACAGCCACCCTGTGAGACAAAGGGGCTCCAACATGCAGCCCCAGTGTGTGAGCAACCAAGAGTCTTAGGCAGTTGGCCCAGGTCACAGTGTAAAGCTCAGAGGCCAAGCTGGGAGTCAATGGCAGGACTGCTGCTTCATGCCCAGGTGTCACATTTTAATCGTGGTCCCAGTGGAAGAAATCCGTAGCCCCAAGGAGCTTAGAGAAGCAGGACTGAGCCACCCCTCCAGGTCCTCTGTTTCTAAAATATCTCAGGTCTGGACCTGAAACACTGTCCATTCTTCGTTCCTCGGACAACTGCCGGAGTATGAGAAGATTCTCTCTTGCACTTGGAGCTGGAGGAGGCTCTGTTGCCTATCCCCTCAGCAGGCTCCGAAACCCAGCAGGAACCCACTGCCCAGGCAGCAGAGACGGGGATGTCAGGGTGGCCACCCAGGGTTTCCAGCAAACACCCAGGGGACAGCAGGGGGCTGGTCTTTTAACATGTGGGTGGCATGGAGCACCCTGTTGGAGTCTGGTGGTGATTGGAAGAGCTGGCCTTTCTCTCAGCCCTCCTGGAGTGGGTGCATCTGAATCCCCTCACCTTGCTCCAGCTCCTTCTCATTTATCTTGCACTCCCTGACACTGCGGAGCTTGGCCTTGCAGGTGCCCCCAGCCTGGTGGATGGACAGCAAGCGGCCTGGCCACTGGAGGAGTCCATCATGTCTTTGGGAGCTCCCTGAACTGGGAAGAAAGGCTGCTCACTCAGGCCTAGGCTGTGGGAGAGCCCTGCCCAGCATAAGGTTCTGGGGATCCCGAGGAGCTGTCAGCAGCCTGGCTGTGAGGAGGGGCCCTTCGCGAAGAGGAAGCTGGCTGGTGAGGCCGGGCCTTTGCTGAAGCCCGGATGCTGACTGCCTCTGCCTGAGCTCAGGACCCTCTCCAATCCCCACCCAGCTTAGCTGCCACCTGTGGAGGGGGGCCTGACAGTTTATGATATGCCGAATATCTCAATGTGACATGTGATCCAACAAGGAATTTCTCTGCTACTTCTGGAAGAGGGAGATGACTGGAAGATACATTGAAACAGCAATTCTGCAATTTAAGGAACCCATGGATATTCTGTTGCTGTAGTTTTCAGTGATTTCAGCGGCCCCTCTTATTCCACTGGTGTCAGTGGGGGACCCACAGCCCCATCTGCCCAGGCGCCCTCCACCCTGGAGGACAGAGTTCCAGAGCTCCACGGACATGGTTTGAAAACCACTATTAATGAACCCAATGGGACAAGATTTAAAATTAGAACTATCCTGAAACTGTAGAATTTATGGCCACTTAACCAAACTACAGAAAACCCTTCAGGATTTTCAGAAACTTGGAGGTGCCCCCTAAGAAAGTGCCCTACCCCCACACACGTGCCCAGGGGCCCTTCCCCTACTCCTACCTGAAGGAGAAGAGCTGCCATCAGCTTCCTGGGCATCGTGACCTGGAGAGGCCAAGGTCTGTAGTGGAGGTAGGTATGAGGGGAGCACTGAGCAGCACTGCTGGAGCCGGGGGACGTGGGCGGCAGTGGGGGTGTGAAACAAGTGTGAGAAACGTGAGGTGTCTGAGGAAGAAAGGGGCCCAACTCCCCTTCCTGGCTCTGGCTCACTTGTCTCAAAAGGCTTGGCCACCACTGTGGGGAGGCAGGCAGCTCTGGAATGATGCCTGGGGTGGAGAGGGCAATGCCAGGGCCAGATTTGCTCTGTACTTGAGGTCATCAGCCATGCCTTGCAGGTCAGGTAGGTGGCATATCACGTCACTCTCACGTACTTGGCCCAGATCAGGCATGCAAAAGTGGTTCTCTGGAACCTGCAGGATTAGGTGGGGGTATGTGTGCTGGGGTGCTGCAGTTTGACCTTGGGGCAGTCCCAGAACTGCTCCTCCCATGCGAGCTGCTTGCTGACCTGCTGATGGCAGACAGCCAGCTGGGCCTTGGTGGCTTCATTGATGGGGTAGAGCTGCAGGACTTTCTGGAAGTCGGCCCATGCCGAGTCAACGTCATTCACTGCCAGGTGGGCCTCTCCGTGGTGGCGAAGGCCCTTCTCATTGTTGCTGTCCAGCTCCTTCTCTGGTCAAGACTGGTTTTTCAAGGTATGTACCTTCAGCACGATGATGGAGAATGCAAATGGCTGGTTCCACCTGTAAAAGAATGAGTCTCGGGACATTAAATGGGGAAGACCAAGGTCTACAAAGGAACCTCTTTCAGTCCTAGAGGCAGAGAGGGAAGACAGGCCTTCCTCAATGCCCCCAGGCAAGACCAGCTGGCTTGTACTAAGTGAAGATTGCAGGTGCCACTTGTCCGCTCTCTGGCAGAAACTGACCTCAGCCATCTGTGGGCAAATATTTGCCCAGAGGAGCCCTCCCTGAGCGTGTCCTCAGAACCACACTGCTGGCTCCTCTTCAAGCACACAGCGCCTGCTCTTTCACTGTGGAGCTCAGTTCCAGCTTCTCTGAACATGTCTCCCAAGACTCCTTGCCTGCCATCCACCGAGGGAGAAACACAACTGTCAGCGACCCCAGAGAGTCACCTCCAGGGTGGGAGGCGACTTCAGGATGGGCAGGACCTTGAGCCAACTCACCTTCCCAAAACTCTGGAGGCGCATTTCCTGTTTCAGGTCAGCGTTTGGTGGGAACTGGAACTTTCCCTTCCCAACACTGCCAAAAGCAGGGCTGTGGGGGCAGAAAAACCCCCTAAGCCATCTCATCAGCAGTTAACCTGCTCCTCATGGAAAAGAATTCCTGTTTCCCAAAAAGTACCTCCGTGTCCTGTGTGGCAGAATCTTCCCTGACCTCCAAACACATTACTGGTTCTCTTAGTATCTCACACACCCTAGTGACAGCTCATGCTGTACATACACTGGCATGACTACTCACTGAACTGGCATCTCACTGAAAAATGAGTCAGTAGGTGGCAGGAGCAATGTCTCTGAGAAACTCGACGTCGTCAGCACCGTGCATGGCACAGAGTAAGTGTGCTTCCATAAGGTCACCAATGAGCAAGTGAACCAATGGAGCACGAAAACATTGATGTCGGTGAAGGGGAGAGTCTGCAGCAGCCATGAGTGAAAAGATTATGCTTGATCCAAGGAGATGTGGACAGTTGTGACCACGCTCCTAACACAGCGAAGAGACCATGATGGCCTATGTTTGCTGTGCCCAGAGGCACAGTGAGCACGAAGGAGGCTGTGGGGGTAGAGAACACGTGCCCAGGAGAAGATACACAAGGCCAGCCATTTAACTCTCCCTGGACATTTAGATCTCTGACCTCGGTTCACACTCATGCTCTGCCAAGCCCACTCCTGACCTGGGCTTGAAGTACACATGGAATGTTCTCCACTTTCCATGTGCTGAATGGCCTTCTCCAGCCCAGTAGGCAGATCCAGACTCTGCACCTCACCCATCTCAAAGTGGAGCTCCTGCTGGTCAAAAATCTGGTCCTTGTACCCTTCCAGTGCAGCTGGTGTGCAAGAAAGGCAATGGACCCAGTGCACAGGTGGGGAGCAACTGAAGGAGGACGCCGTCGGCACCCTGCTGTGGTCTCACCACTTCCTGGCCCCAAGGCGCCCTGGTGTTCTGACTTGGAGGGATGATGAAAGGGTATGTTCCAATCCCTCATTTTACAGGCAAGAAAAGGGGACCAGAGAAAGGAAGCAACCTGCCCAAATCCACTCAAAGACTAAGTATCAGAAACCTAATTAAAACCTGCCTACTGTTTTACCCTCCACCACAGCACCCTCGTGGGCCTGGCACAGCCTCTGTCCCGAGTCCATATTCCCTGCATGGTTGCCCCATCTTCTTCCTCTTTTAGGTCCTCGCCCTTGAACTCACACCACTCTACTTGTGGGACACGGTGTAGGGCCACAAGTCCTGTCAGCACGAACTTGTCAACAGTGAGACACAACTTCTCTCCCATTTAGAAGAGTCCCTCCTACTGCCAGACGAGGTCTGACCCGGAGGGCAGCCACGCTACGAGTGAACAAAGTGGCACTTTTGCCAAGTTCTCGGGATTTGCCCCAGTCTCAACTTTGGTAGAGGTGGGCAGGCCACCCAGATTTCAGGTAACCTCAGGACATCGGTCTGTTCGCTCCCTGCTCTGCACAGTAAGGACAGGTTCTAGTCAGTCCTAACTCAGCTACTTGAGAAGCCCAGTCCGACAGCGTTAGAAATGACCCAACATCTTTCAGCAGTCTCCTGAACATCCTCCAAGTCCTTAGTGTTGATTAGGGCTCCACTACTTGCAGACTGACCAGTGTCAAGTCCCACCTCCTCAGAGGAAACTTTCCTCACCTCCCTGACCCACAGGGGGCGGCATCTCCCCCTCCTCTTATCTCTAGACACCAACATTCTATACCGTCATTTGTAACTGCACACACATTCTGACCTCCTGGCTCCTGTGGGTTCAAATCACACCCCGTCTCTGGGCACTGCTCTTGAGATAAACACGTCTCTGCCCATTACTGCCTGGAGTCTGAAGAGGGGTTCAGGGCCACCTCTTTCCACCTGAAACCTCCAAGTCGCCTCTGTCCTGGCAGCAGTAAGCTGTGTGCACAGTGAAGCCAACTGCCCTGCCATTTCTCTTTCCCCTTAAGGCCAGACCCTTAGCTTTGGCTGCATTGTCTCCAAGTGGCAGGAAGGCCTGCAACCAGGCCCTCAGCTGGCTCTTTGCCTTGCTCCCTGGCTGGACGCTTACCTCAAAGAAGGGTTGCATTGGAAGGGGTTTGCAGAGGGCTGCCTGCCCAACCGTGGGCATATTCTGGCTTGCAGGTGAGGCCACATGCTTCTCCCAACATCAAGGTTGCTACAGCAACGTCCCAACCCTTGATGACCTCCCCTTTCTGTAGGTACAGAAAGTGAACAGGTCCTTCCTCCTTGGCAGGGAACTGACTGGGCCCTGTGGCCCCAGGGTACGATGCCCGAGGGGAAGCTGGACACTCTTTAGAAATGGGACCAGGAAGGTGGAAACATGTGGCTGCAGTCAGTGCTGTCACCTCAGACCCCTAAACACCAAACCAGAACCAAACCGCTCAACTCTGGAACAAGGACGTTCAAGAGACAAGGCAGCCCCTTCTGAAGAGGAAGTGAGGTGCTCAGAGTGATCAGAGCAACGAGAGGAATCAGTGGAGTTACTGGACCGTGGGAGACAAAGGAGCAACAGCAGCAGCAAAAGCAGCAGTTTGCACTAAACCATTCCTCCTCAAGCTTCTGAAAATATGGTTCCTGCTTGTGAACGCTCACATCCTCCCGGAAACCTAGCTACCAAGCCTGGTTTTGCCCACCTTTTCCCAGATCAAGGAGAATTTGTCTCTGGAGTCTGGACTGGAGGCAAACTTGGTGCCATCTAACAACCGGACAGTGTAGTGAAGGAGGACTCGGTCCCCAGTCATGAGCATGTTTGTGGCTTGATGACCTGGGAGGAAGGGGGAGGTGAGTGCCCAGGGATGGGGGCAGAAAGAGGCACAAAACAGCCTGCACGTTTCTGACAGGTACATACAGGGAGTCTCCTGCCTCCTTGTAAAGAGCGTCAAGGGACCAATGCCAAAGGACTTCATGATAGAAAGCTTGGCCTGAGTCCTGACCACAGGCTTCCAAGGCGGCCAGAAGAATAATGGCCAAGGCAAGGTCCCTGCACCTTCGCTGCCCCCTTCGGAGCCTGCAGCCCTCTCAACTCCAGAACAGTGCAGCCCCTTCAGGAAGGCCATGTACCTCACCGCCCCCTGCAGGAGCACTGCGCCAAAAGCCCGGAGCCTGCAGGGGCTGCTGTCCCGTCCCAGGCTGGGCCAGAGGGTAGCTGCGATGGGCGCTCCAGTTCCGCGCCCCCAGCAGACCCTGTGCTCCCCCCGCGCCCCCACCCTCACCTTCAGCACGCCTTCATCATGCTTGGGCCTGATGTCCACTCTCTCCATTCCGAGGGGCGCCGGCTGCACCGCACTCCTTGCTGCCTTCATCTCCTCCATGGTCAGGGCCACTCCAAGGGCCCTTTACTCAGGGAGCTGGTCAGTGGGCGGGAGCCAAGCCCTCTCAGCTGCCCGCCTGCCTGCCTGGGGTGGGGCCCAGCTTGGCAGCCACCCGCCCCTCCTCCCCCCTCCAAACTAAGTGGTCCAGTGTTCGAGCACCTGTGTCTCAGGACGCACTGGCAGGGTGCGCAGAGCCCAGCTCAGGACTAAGTAGGTGGTGCTGAGCGGCCCCAAAGCCCTGGGTCCCACCCGCTGCAGAGCGAGGGGCTGGGAGGAGCCAGAGCCGGGGTACCGGGTGCTGGGGGTTCTAGAAAGTTTTTAAAAAATCTTTCATGTTTAGGTCTATGATCCATCGCAAATTAATTTTTGCCTGTGGCGTGAGGTGGAGCAGGTTTATTTTTCTTACACATGGATGTACAGTTGATCAGGCCCCATTTATTGGGAGGCGACCATCCCTGGGTGAACTGTGATGGCTCCTTTGCGGCCCATCAGGTGTGACCATGCGTTTGTGTCTGTTGGCAGACCTTCCTTCGTTCCAGAGGTCTGTTCCTCTATCCCTGGGCCACATGGTAGCTTAGTTGCTGTAGCTTTAAAATGAGTTTTGACATCTGGTAGTGTAAGTCCTCCAGCTTTGTTCTTCTGTTGTTCGGATTGCCTTGGCTTTTGTAGGTTCAACACACTGTTTTGGACACATATTAGAATCATTTTGTCAATGTCTGAAAAAGTGCTGATGTTCTGGTTGAGATTCCATTGAACTTATACATCAAATCAGGGAGATTTGGCATCTTAAATACTGAATCTTCTAATCCAAGAATGATATGTACCTCCACCTATTTAGGTATTCTTTTTTTTTTCTCAGCAATGTTTTAACGTTTTGTATTTTTCAGCATAGAGGTGTTGCACATCTTTTATTAGATTTATTCCTAGATATTTTTGGTTGGAGTGCTATTGTGAAATTTATTTTATAAAGTTAACTTTCTAATCGTTTGTTGCCGGTATATGGCATACAATTGATTTTTGTTTTTATTTTTCTTATTTTAATTGTGGGACGGTGTGCATAGCATGAAATGTACCATTGTAGCCATTTTTGGGTGTGTAGTGTTTGGGCACTAAGTGCATTCCCATTGTTGTACAAACATGCAAATACTTTCTTTTGGTAAAAGCTTTATTGAGACATAATTCAGAGCCCATGTAATTCACCCATTTGCGGGGTACAATTGGGTGACTCTTAGGATATGCACAAGGTGGTGCAGCCATGACCACAGTCAAATACAGAATGTTTTCATCACCCCAGGAAGAAATCCTGTGCCCTTGAGAAATCACTGCCCAACCTTCCCCAGCTCCTGGCCCCTGGCAACCAGCCACCTATTTTTGGTCCATCTGTTCCCTTCTTAGTTCACAGGTATTTACAAGGTTTGAGAGCATGACTGGTGGTTCATTGTCAGGCACATGCAGTGCTTGAAGAATCCCACAGGCAGCCTTAGCTGCTCCTGCACTTCCGCCAGCCTTTTAGACACTGACATTGTTATGTTTGCTTATCTCCCTGGGTCTTAGTGTTTTCTTTCTTTTTCTTTCTTTCTTTCTTTCTTTCTTTCTTTCTTTCTTTCTTTCTTTCTTTCTTTCTTTCTTTCTTTCTTTCTTTCTTTCTTCATTTTCTGTGCCTTCTAATGGAAGAAAGAGGTGTATTTATTCTTATTTTTATTTTTTGAGAGAGAGAGATAGGAAGATAGAGGGGAGGGGGAGAGAGAGGAAAAGAAACAATCCATTTTTTGCTGGACTTTTTTATGCAATTCATCAGTTGACTCATGTATGCCCTGGCTGGGAATCAAAACCATGACCTGGATGCACCAGGACAGTGCTCTGACCAACTGATCACCCAATCAGGGACAAAAGAGGTGTATTTCTTACATGTGACACCTTCTCTTTCCCTGAACCTTGAGGCAGACAAGCCCACTCTTCCTTGTGGGTTCTCCCAGCCCTGAATCACTGTATCTTTCCAGGTGGCAAGGTTTTCCCTAGTTGATTCTGCCGCTGCTTGAAAACATTTGTCTTTCTCCATTTTTATTCACCAACTCTTCTTTTTCTCATGCAGTTGATTTTTAAAACCAGTTTTACTGGGGTCTGATTTACATGTGCTAAACTGACCAACGTTAAGTGTATAGGTCAGTGAGTTTTGATAAATGCACACAGCCATGCAGCCACCACAAGCAGCACAATACAGAGCCTTAGCCTCCCCACCAACAGTTCACTTGTGCCCCTCACAGTCAGCCCCACTAGACCTCCTCCCTGGGCCCTGGCAGCCACTAACCTGTTCTTTCCCACACCTTAGCCTGTTGGAGAACTTCACGGGAGAGAATTATACAGTGTGTATCCCTTGTGTCTGGCTTCTTTCACTCAGGGTAAGCTTTTGAGATTTTCCTATGTCGTTGTGTGTATCAGTAATTTGTTTTTCTTTTTTTAATTCCTGAGTAGTATTTCATTGTTTGGATGTGCCCCAGTGTGCTTATCTGTTCACCAGCTGAAGGACTTTTGGGTTGTGCCTAACCTGTGGCTGCCAAGAATGAGCTGCTGCAACATCCTTGTACAAATCGTTGTTTGGAAATATGTTTTTATTTCTCTTTGTGTCCTCATGAGGAGCAGCAGGCTTTGCTAGGTCACATGGTAAGTATATGTTTAACTTTAGAATGAACTGCTCAACTGTTTTCTGACTCGGCTGCACCATTTTGCATTTCCAGCAGCAGTGCATGAGAGTTACATGTGCTCTGCACCCTTGCCAGTACTGAATAGTCTTTTCACCGTTCTAGTGGGTATGCAGTGAAAATCCTAGCAGTTTTATAATTCTCATTTCCCTCATGAATAGTGATGCTGAGCATCTTTGTGTGTACTCATTTGCCATTTGGTATCTTGTCTGCAGTGAAGAGTGTCTTTTACCTACTAAAAAAAATCAGATTGCCTTGTTATGGATTTGTGAGAGGAACATGTGTGTGTGTGCGTGTGCATGGCACAGCGCTAAGCTGAATAATGGCCTCCAGAGAGATGTCCTGGTGCCAGTCCCCAGACTCCATGAGTATATGTGACCTTGGATCTTGAAACGGGGAGATTATCCTAGTGGATCCAATGTAGTCGAGTGGTTTTTGTGAGGGAGGGAGGAGGGTCAGCCTCAGAGGTGGAGATGTGACAATGGAAGCAGAAGTCAGTGTGCCCTGGGGCTGTGAGCCAGGAAATGCAAGCAGAGTTTGGAATGTGGAAAGGGTGAGGAAGCGAACTTTCCCTTGAGCTCTGGAAGGAACTGAGTACAGTCGACACCTGGGTTTTCCCCAGTGACACTGATCTTGGACTTCTGGCCTCAATTACTGTAAACCAGGGGTGTCCAAGCTTTTGGCATCCCTGGGCCACACTGGAAAAAGAGTTGTCTTGGGTGACACAATAAAGATATTGCAACACATAATCACAAAACAATCTCATAATGTTTGAAGTAAATTTATGATTGTGTGTGGGTTGCATTTATTCATAGCCCTCCCAAGCCACAAGTGGCCCACAGGCCACAGGTTGGACACCCCTGCTGGGAACTCATAAAGCTAAATGACTTTAAGCCATGAAGGTTGTGGTAATATTAGCAGTGTACGGACACTCAGTGTTTATGGAATGATTTGGAGCTAGCTTCTTTGCTTCTAAGTCATGTTGTTTTGTTTCTACCATCTTGTTCTGGGTGGAGGGAGCAGGGTCTTTCAGGTGGTTTGAATGGTACAAGAAAGGCCCCCTGCCAAGCAGGACCTGAGCATCCAGGGCACCGAGGGTAGAGGAGCCTTAGGTGGTGGAGTGTGTTGGAGTTCGGGAGAGGAGATGATTGGGTGGAGAGTACTCGATTTTGGAGGCAGAGGACTTTGGGCTTGAGGTGCTCAGAAAACACTAGGAGTCTGGAGCATTTAGGCTGCTCATCAGAACTGTGGGCATGGGGGGCAGGGGCTGGACCAGGGTGAAATAAGCACGGAGAGAAAAGGCTCTCCAGCCCCTTTCACTCTGAGGAGCTGGCAAACCCAGCCTGCTCTTTGTCATGAACTTAGAGAAGCACTGCACAGTTCTGCAGCCCAAGGTGCTTCTGTGAATGTGGGGAAGGGAGTCAGGGAGGTCACAGCCACCTTCTTCCTTTTGGCCCCTCAGGTTCATTGGATGGCCCAGCCCTCACCTCCTGCAAAGTGGCACTGGCCTCACTGATGACATGAGATGACACTGTCAGACTGGTCAGCACTTTCTCTTTCAGCGTGGCCATGGGGTTTGCTGTGGGGTGGGTGGAGGAAGGGGGAGGGAAGCCCTGGAAAAGGTGGCCAAAGTATACTTTGACCTGGGAGCTGTTTTCTTTGCTGCTTCTGCTCTGGGGGCACAGGTCTCAGTAAGGACGATGGGGGTGGGCAGGCTGACTGTCCCCTTTACACCACGTCTCTCCCCACGCTGGGAGCTCTGAGGACACTGCTGTCCCTGGGTCTCACGATGCTCCCAGACCTCCGACAACGACTTTCCCATTCTTCTTCCTACTTGTAGTTGGCTTCAGTTCAGACCCAGGCTTCTCCCTGACAGCTCCCCTAACTGAAATCACTTCCTTTCTCTGCCACACATTTTCAGGACCAGGTGACTGACAGTTTCCTATTTCATGGTGTCTTCTACTGAGATCGCAGACTTCCTGGGGATGGGAGCAATCTTTCTGCACCTGTGCCCTGTCTCACTGAACACACTGTCAACCACTGGGGGGCAGCTATTGCTTTACCGAAGGCAACGTTCATGGGGCCTGTTCAGATTGTTGTTGAGGGAACTCTTCAGGGAAAGGATAAGTGAACAGGAACTAAGTGAGAGGAAAGGAGGACTTCTTCGGAGCTCAAGAGGGATTATTTGCTATTTGAAAAAAATATTCCCTTCCTTGTGTGGTGGATTCCAAAACTGAGGGTGACACTATCTGGCAGCTCTAATTTTCAGGCTTTAAGCAGATGGGCCTCTGGTCCCTAGCCCCTTTTGTTTTCTTCCTGTGCTCCCCTCTCACTTTTTCAAGACATCAGGTGTTGATTGAGTGCCCTGTGTGATAAACACTGAGGACTGACACCAAGGTGAACGCAGGTGATCTTTGCCTGCAGGTGGCTGTCTTAGGTGCTCTGAGCCTTTAACTGTACACATTACTCCCAAACCTCTGTCTCCTCTCCCAAGCTCCTTCCCCAAATCCATGTCCCATGTCATGCGTTAGATAATTTTCCAGATGTCAAAGTGCACACAGACCTGCAGCCCCAACAGGAGCAGAGATAGTGCTTCTCTTTGTGGGGCTGGGGGAGGGTGGGGGAGGGCAGGGGGGAGGTCGGTGCAATATGTCACATGACTTGCTGAAGCCCTGGGAAGGAAGGGACGCAGGGCATCCTAACTGGTGTTGGATTTGGGGGGAAAAGTCGAGAAACCCAGAGAGCATCAGAGACAACTTCCTACCAGTATGAAGCTGAGTTAAAATCAAGAGAAGTGAGCAGTCAGTTCAGAGTGTTTATATTCAGGGTGGGGCAAAGGTAGGTTTACAGTCGTGAGTATGCAAAACACATTTTTACTCTTGTATTATTGTGGTTAATTCTTGCATTACTCCCCATGCAAATATCTGAAAACCTACTTTGCCCCACCTTGTACAAGAACAAAACCAATGCTTTAGCTTAACAATGGAGGAAGAATTAGTGATCCCGAACTAAAATCAAGGAAAGCAGCAGTAGTAGTGACACGTCAATGACAACAGGCCAGAAGGAGAAACAAGTAAGATCCCATCCAAAGAGTTTACAGTTTGTGGGGGAGGACAGGCTCCCTCCAAGGATGCGCCCCTCCTTCTGGGGCACTGCCTGGCTCGTGCACCCGGGCTTGCAGGGACACGTGTGGGAGCTGACAAATGTGCCTCGCCAACACCTGCATCGAACTTGTCTTTCCTTATTTACAGTCTTGGGAGTATGTTCACTAAAGCTGGGGGCACTGAAACGAGGCAGGACTTAGAAGAGAAGAAGCAACAGGAGAGAGCCTGGGCGGGGCTGAGTTGGCTCACTGGCAAGTCAGACTGAAGGGGGCCTTGGAGACAGGCTCAGGGAGTTAGGCTGGAATGAGCTGCCACTGCCCCCTGCTCCCCTGCAAGTCTCATGGGAACCCCTAGAGTTTAGGAGAAGCTTTGCCCAAGAGGGAAGAAAGGTGTGGGCATGATTCCAGGAGGCAGGCGGCCAATCCAACTTGTCCCTTTCGACAGTTCATCAGGTCCCCCCTCCTTTTTCTGCATTTCCTTCCACAGCCAGTTTTGAGCTGGGTGGTGGGGCAGGTAAGAGGGGTGGAGGTCTGAGAACAGAAGGACAGGAAAACGTGCTGCCTGTGGTTAGGCCGATTCCTCATGTTGCCAGCAGAGGGCAGAAGATCCTTCCCTCTACCACACTGCAATAATGGTGCTGTCTAGGTTCTGGTCACTTTTTTCAGTGGTCACTGAGGGGCACTTTGTAGCAGGCTCTGTACTGGGCACTGGGGAGTGCCAGGCTGACTGAGCTGTGAGCCCTGGCTCCAGAGGAGCCCATGGTCTGTGAGAGCGAGACAGCCATGGACACCCAGAGTGCCAAACATTGGGCTCTTCAGGGGACTGTGGGGGGGTGGGGGGTGGAAAGGAAGGGCATCCAATGATCCTCATAGGAAAAGATGTTTGAACTGGGGCTTGAAAAATGATTTTTATTTTGCAGGGTACACAGCCAGGTATGGTAGCCAGGGCAAGCATGACACTCCGTGGCACAGGGCGGTAGGGAGGGGGCTGGAGACGAGACTTGGGGAGTTGGGGGATCCTGGAGGGCCGTCCTTGGCTGCCATGCTGAGGAGCTTGGACTGAAACCATGAAGGAAATGGGAGGCCATCGTGGGGGCTTAATTATAAGAATAACACAATCAGATTTCCATCTTTAAGACATTCACTGTTCCAGCTGTGGGGAGGATGGCCAGAGGAGGGATGTGGGAAGGACAGGCCTGAAGGTTGCTGGCCAGCTAAGATTTGCCTGAAGCAAGTAGAGTGAGAGGTGCTGGCGGTCTGAACGAAGGTGGTAGCAGTGGGACCGAGAGGAGGGACTGGACAGGAGACTGAAAGGACAGATTGTGGTCTCTGATGGGATGGAGCAGGGCGAGGATGGAGATCTCCTGTGTTTCTGGCTTCAGTAGCTGTGGTGGGTGCAGGTGGCAGCTGAGAGGATGGAGAGCAGAGGGGCAGGGGAGAAATCTGGGGAGAAGGATTACGAGTCATTGAAAAATATGAGGCATCCTGCCCTGTGCTGCATTTGATTCCCTCCACACCCCACAGTCTAGATCCTTCCTACTCCTCACTGGTTCTGTGAGAGCGGCTTCCTGTGGGATTTCACAGTGTTTAGTCTGCTTCGGTTACAATAGCTTATGGATGCTTTCCTTTAATACATATTTATTGACAGCCTATTATGTGCAGGCACTGGGACAGGTGCCTTCACCCCCAGGGGCTTATATTCTACTACAGAAACATCATTCTCTTGCCTCCAAAACACACTAATCAGGAACTAAGTCCTTGACCTAGGTATGCACCTTGATGGGGAATAGGACCCGCAAACTTTTGGTGTATGGGAGGAAGCTTCAACAAGCTGAGCCACCTGGCCAGGGCTGTGAAGTTACAAGAGAGCATTTGTCTCCAGGAGTCATAATGGGGGGAGGGGCTGTCCATTCTTTAGACTAACAGCTGGTCAGTTACAGATTGAACATTTTAGGCTTGGTTGCTCAGATGGGAATCTTTCTCACACTTGGGAAGCATTCTCAGGAGACACTCTGTGTTGTCTGACTACTTCCTAATGGTGCTGTTTGCCTATCTGGTGTTGGTGAGAAAAACAGAAATAGGCTGAGGCCTCGAGTGGAGGTCAGTGTGAACGTGGGAAAGGAACCTGGGTAGTGACCGTGTGAGGATTGGAAAGGGGTGGATTCAAGGGGCATTTCATAAGTAGAATTCTGTGTCCTGGGAGGACCTGGGTGGTGTGTGAAAGGAGGAGTGAAAGATGACCAAAAGCTCAAGCACTGCCTGGACTCAGTGCTGTGGTCAGTCCAATGTGGGAGGTATTGAACTTGAAGTACTGTGAGAAATGAGAAACTATGAAATACAGGAATGAGGGTTTTCATCTCCAACAAGACCTGGGAGATACAGGTTTTGTTACTCTAAACAATGTTCAGTGTTCATGCTGACTCTCCATTTTTCTAACAAGGCTTAAATTTCATCAATTCCCTATATTCATTGTGAACAAGCTAAGCATCTGAACCCCTCGATTGCCCTGGAATTGCACCTTCTCTTCTTTTTTGTTCTGTTGGCTACTGTTGTACTTCCGTCATGACTTTAAGTCCCTCAAATTAGGGGTGATTATTACTGTATTTTAAGAGTTAAGAATTATTTAGACTTGCCAATTTCATTGTTAGGCTCCTACATGAAAACAAATTACATACTCAAATAAGGATAATTCCAGAAGAGTTTAATAAATAAACTAATTAATTAATTACTTATAGTAGGTCTTTCTAATGGGTATACATGGGTTGAGGTTCAGAAAGTCACAAGAGGCAGCTTAATGTCCCAGAGCTAGTAACCACAAGAGTTTTGCACTGCTAGGCCTGAGGATATTTAGGAAGGGAGCTGTCCTGGAAAGCTGAAAGCAGAGATGTGCACCCGGAGTTATTCTGAGAGAAGCAGAGACCTCAGAGATACACACCCACACCAAGGATCATCATGTCAGGAGAACAGGAGACTCTGTACTCTGACCGCACCATCCTCCCTTACTGCAGTGTCCTACTAGGGCTCTCCATTGGCAAAACCCAATTGCCAGCCAGAGAGCAAGGGAGCTTGTTTGGTGTGGGCCATCCTGGCCAGCCTCCAAGAACTTGGCAGGCGTGGAGAAGGGTGTTAGGGCTGATCTGGAGAGCCAGCAGAGACATTCAGGATACCACGTGTCTGGTTAAGTCTTTAGTACACAATTTCTTGGTTCCTAATTTTCCTTTCCAGAGTTATTTTATTCCTTGCTGAAAGAAGTATATTTGTGTGTCTTTCAATGAGGGCTTATGAATAATACATTTCTCAGTACATCTGAAAATGTCTTTAGTTTGCTCTCACTCTTGAATGTTATAGCTGAGTATAAATTTCAAGACGGATAGATATTTTCCTTCAGAACTTGGAAGCTATTTTTTCCACTGTCTCACCTACTCTTACTGATGAGAAGTCTGCTGTTGGTCTGGTAGTCTGTCCTGAAGTTGATCTTCTTTGTCGGAACTTTTTATGATTCTCTCACTTTCCTCGGTATTTTATTTTATTGCAGTGTATCTAGATATCAATTTGTTTTTATTCTGTGAGAGACTTGGTTGGCTTTTTCAATCTTAGGATTTATATCTTTCTTTAATTCTGAAACATTCTCAGCCCTTATCACCGTTACCTCCTGCCCAGACTCTATTTCTTTTCTTTTTTTTGAAACTCCCATCAAGCATATATTGGAGGTTTTTTTAATGCTGTCCCTCATCTCTTTAAACACGTATTTTCTTCATCTTTTTTTGCACCACTTGTGTCATTTACATGTATATTTGTACTTGTGCAGATTGACATTTATAGTATCTCCGCCTTGAGCAGTTGTGACGACCTTCAAGGCAGACCAAGGCCTATGACTCTGAGGTGGTAATTTTTTTGAGTCCAGAATTGTTTTCATTGTTGTTCAACTACAGTTGTCCCCATTTCTCCCTGTATCTGTGCTGTATTCTGGTCACTTTAGTCTGTGTTCCAACTCACTTATTCTCTGCTCAGCTAGGCTACTCTGAAATATTTCCACTGGGTTGTTTACTCAGTTGTTTGTTCTTTTCTGCATCTATCTATCTATCTTATAAACATATAGCTACTTATTCATTTACTATAATATCCTGTACTTGCCTTACCTGTCCTTAAAATTTTTGCTGTTAAATAAACACTGCTGTCTATGTAATTGGATGAACCAAGTACATAGAGCTCAGTGATTTCTCACTGAGCAGATGTCTCCATCACCAGCATTGAGGTATAAAGTGACATCACCAGCACCCTAGAACTCCCTATTGTGATCCTTTCTGGTCTCTACTCCCTCCCAGGCTAAGCCATGAAACCTTTATGTAAATCACTCCCTTGCTTTTCTGTAAAGTTTTACTACCTAAGTTGGCATTCCTAAACACAGTAGTTTATATTTGACTGTTTTCAGTTTTTTTATAGACATGGTAAAGAAGTATGTATTATTTGGTGTGTGACTTCTTTCACTCAGTGTATATTTGTTAGATTTGTACATGTTGTTACACAAATTGTCGTTTATTCATTTTCAGTGCTGTATAGTATTCCATCAGATGAGTGATACATACATATATAAACATCTATTTATCTATTATGAAGATGTTAGAAATTTGAGCTGCACTTCAGGGCTATTATGAATAATGGCAGTCTGAACAGGCACTCTGATGTGTGTCTGTTGCTGTAAGCAGGCATTCATTTCTGCCGGGTGTGTACCTAGGAGAAGATCATGAAGTAGATAGTGCCGAATTGTTTTCCATAGTGGCTGTTATTTTACATCCCCACTGGTAGTATGAGATAGTTTCCTTGTTCCATATCTTTGGAACACATGTCACTATGAACTTTTTAAATGAAGGCATTCTTCTGGGTGTGTAGTGATGTATTTCTGATGCTTTAACTTTCATTTTTCTAATTTCTGGTGATGTTGAGCCAAAGTTTTTAATGTGTTTATGGACCATTTGGATATTCTCCTTTATGAGTTGCTCACAAGTCTCTTACCTGTTTTACTATTTGTGTTCTTCTTGGATTTGCAGGAAATTGTTATATATTTTGGATATGAACCCTTTGTGGATTTTATGGGTGATATTTATCTTTTTTCATGCTGTAGTTTGCTCTTTTTACTCACCTGTTGGTGACTTTTTGATGACTTACAGATTTCCATTGCTCTCCCAACTTTTTATCTGAAAAAATCCAAACCTATAAAAAAAGTTGAAAGAACAATACAATGAGCACCTATTATTCTTCAACTTATATTCACCCATTTGCTGAAATATTTTGCCATATTTGTGCTCTGTCTCTTTTTGTCAATCTGCCTCTTTCTCTCTCTCTCAACCTGTCTCTCTCTCTCTCTCTTCACACATACTAACAGATATGAATCATCTCAGAGTGAGTTCAGCTGTATCTTATGGTCCTATCAATATTCCAGCATGTATCTCCTTTGAAAGAAGTAAAGTGCTGATAACGTCATTATACTCTAGGAACTTGTAACATTGTCATTATAATATAGACTATAGTCAAATTTCCCAAGTACCCTCTAAATGTTTATAGCTTTCTTTCCCTCACCTAAGTTCCAATTGGAGATCATGAATTGCATTCTTCCTTTATCTAAAACAGTGCACCAATTGTTTTTGTCTTTCCTTGTTTTGTAGACTGTTCCACAATCCGGATTTGACTGTTTCCTCTTTATCGACTCAGGTAAACAAATTGGGCAAAAATACTACATGGATGATGTTGTCTGTTCTCCTTTGCATTATCACGAGGCTCATGATACAAGTTAGTTCCATTATCACTGATGCCTGGTTTGATCACTTCATGAAGGTGGTGTCCATCAGCTCTTCCCATGTAAAAGTACCTTTGTTTTCCTTTTGCAGTTAATAAGTAACGAGTATACTGATCGGTAATAGTGAGGCCATGTGAATCTCTTTTTTCATTGATGCTTCTTGCCTGCATCAGTGATTTCATTTGTAGTAGTAATTCTGTCATTTCTTCTACATTTATTAGCTGACATTTTTTGAAGTAGAATCACCCACCCCAACCTTCATGTATTTTTGGTTATAATTTGGACCCATGGGTGCTTTTTTCATTCAAGGGGCCTTAATCCATTACCTTCATTGTTGTTTTTGATGTTCAGGTTGTTCCCCACTTGGCCAGTGGGAGAACCTTTTAAGCTGGACCCTCTGTTCTTTTAATGTATACCCATTAGTTTATGAGCACTTCCTGTTTCTGGCATAAAAAGATGCTCACATCGAACCTTTCCTACTCCCAACCAGTAATCAGCTATTTTTCCAAGGAATTCTTTCTTTTTAAAAGAGTGTGGCATGAATGATATATGGAAGAAAGTAGGATTTGGGTAGTAGGTGTGCTCTTTGCTACTGGAGTGTCATTGCTTTCAGGCCTTTTCTTTGAACGGAGATACCTGAAATGATGAATTCTTACTTATACTTCCAATTCAGATTGGAATATTGTAGGGTTCCCATTACGTATTTGCATTTCCCATCTTCCAAGGTAAGTATCCCCTTTCTCAAAAAGCATCACTATATTTAGGACAATATACAGAATACTTGCAGTATTCCTACTCCAATAACACTGCCAATTACAAACTTATTATGAAATCCAGAGCTTCTGGACAGGTATTTTTACCTTTAGAAACATCATCACTCTGACTTCTGCTCAAGATGGCAGCATAGGTAAACACAGCTTGTGGCCTTACACAACCACATCAAAATTACAACTATAAAATAGAACAACTATCACTCAGAACCATCCGAAGTCAAGTTGAGTGGAACTCGGACGCTACAGAATTCAAGAAACCACATCCATCCTGGCTGGCAGGAGGAACAGAGACACAAAAGGGTCTGTCCCACATCCACATGGCATGGATGAAAACTTGAGAGGGATATCTCAGACATGAGGAGTCCAAGCAGGTCTCCCATGCCAGGGGTCCAGTACCAGGAAGAAAAGTCTCCATAACTTCTGGCTGCAAATACCAGCAGGCTTTGATCTGGTGGAAGAAACTTCTTGAGTCCCAAGCATTTCACCTTAAAGAACCCACAGACAGACTTCCTGTAACATCCTCCCTCTGACGTCCAGCACCAGGGTAGCAGCTTGAAAGGCACACCTGGCCTACAGAAAGAAACTGAAGGCCAGTTTCTGGCTTCAAGGCAAGCACTAGGGGACAGCTTTTCCCAGACAGAGAGGCAGGCAGAGGCCATTGTCTTTTTTGTGATCCCTGCCCCAGCAGAACAACAGAGGCAACAGACGGGTTCTATATGTGGGACTCCATCAACCTGGCTAACACTGTTTGCCCCACCCTGATATCACTGAGTCTCACCAACTTATGGGTCCACCCAAATGTTAATCTATGACTTTTCCACATGAATAGCTGGTCTTGGCTCCTGCTTCACAACTCCCTCAATCCTGTCAAGCAAACAACAGCTGGCTTCAGTAGGCCCCCAGCCTCTGTACCACTTTCTCAGTGGCCCCAGACCAAGTATTAGCAGCAGCCAGCCTGGATTCATAGCTTGGTTTCAGTTGGGCATCTTCAAGACCAGCACAAGTGAAAGTCTACTCAGATTGCTTTATAGTTCAGGCGGGGTGACTCCAGGCAGAACACAGGTTGGGACTGACCTTCACGTGCACCACCCAGAAAACTGCAGAGCCCGTATACCCAGTGCACAGCTACAGACCATGTAGGAGCACCACCACCTTGCCCCTGCACAGCAGATCCTCCACAGAATACAGAGATTGGTGGTCAGTGGTCATAACCAATCCTTGCTGCTCACTGGCCTGGGTGAAACTCTCTCATTGACCTACTAACAGCAATCAAGGCTCAACTACAAGAAGAGAGTGTACCCAGCCCACATGAAGGGCACACCCTAAGTACTCAGCTTAAATGGTAGCGAAGGCTGTGCCACTGTGCCCCCAGGACACCTACTACATTAGGTCATGCTACAAAGACAGGGAGCCACTGAAGCCCTACCTCATATGTAGAAACAAACACAGGGAGGCTGCCAAAATGAGCACACAAGGAAACATGGCCCAAATGAAAAAACGATCAAAACTCCAGAAAAAGAACTAAACAAAATGCAGCTAAGCAATTTATCAGATGCAGACTTCAAAACACTGGTTGTAAGGATGCTCAAGGACCTAGTGAGGACCTCATCAACATAAGAAAGATTCCGTCAGAAATGAAGGATCCACTAAGTGAAGTAAAGAACAACTTACAGGGAAACAACAGTAGATTGGATGACACCAAGAATCAAGTCAATGATTTGGAACATAAGCAGGAAAAAATTAAAAACAACCAGATCAGAAGAAGAAATAGAAGAATCTAAAAAATGAGGGTAGTGGAAGCAGCCTCTGGGACAACTTGAAGAGGTCCAAAGTTTGCATCATAGGGGTGCTAAAAGGGAAAGAGAAAGAACAAGAAATTGGAAACCTCTGTGAGAAAATAATGTCAGAAAACTTCTCTGCTTTGGTGAAAAGAATAGACATGCAAGTCCAAAAAGCACAGAGACTCCCAAATAAGGCAATGCAAAGAGGCCCACACGAAGACACATCATAGTTAAAATACCAAAGGTTAAAGATAAAGAGAGAATCTTAAAAGAAGCAGGAGAAAAGCAGTTAGCTACCTACAGGGAGGTCCCATAGGACTTTCAGCTGATTTCTGAAAAGAAACTTTAGCGGCTAGAAGAGATTAAGAAGAAGTATACAAAGTCATGAAAAGCAGGGACCTCCCACCGACATTGCTCTAACCAGAAAAGCTATCATTTAGAATAGAAGGGCAGATAAAAAGCTTCCCAGATAAGTAAAAACTAAAGGAGTTCATCATGACCAAAACATTATTACATGGAATATTAAAGGGACTCTTAAAAAGAAAAGATCAAAACTATAAGCAATAGGGGAATGGGTGAGAATGTGAGGGGATTAAGAAGTACAAGTAGGTAGTAACAGAATAGGCACGGGGATGTAAAGTACAGTATAGGAAGTGGAGTAGCCAAATTAGTGTTAAGCATGACCCATGGATATGAACAATGAAGTGCTGATTGCCTGAGGGAGTGGCTGTGGCTGGAGGGCGAGATATTGGGACAACTGTAGTAAAATAACCAATCAAATAGAATTAAAATTTCATAAAGAATATAGCACACTAATGGTATATAGTTAGAATGTCACGTTTTAAATTACTTAAATTATTTTTTTCTATCTAGCTATATAATCAGGTTTGTTTGCAGTAAGATTCATTTATATGTATTGTATTTAGATTTAGGGTTTCCTGGGTTTGATCCCCTGGGATTTTGTTTATATTCAAATATGTGAAGCACTTTTGTGATTGAAAAGTGAAAACTTTATGATGAGGTAAAGCCAGAGGAGTCTTAATCCTATCATTATCCCTTCTTTTTTCTTCCCTCACACCACAATGTTAACCATTTTCATTAGTTTCTTGGTTGTCCTTTTGTGTTTTTTTCCTCCAAAATTAAACAAAACTATCCATCTCTATAGAGGAATATATGTGTACACCCAAATGTACATTTTTTCTTATTTTTTACTCAAAACGTAACATAATTCCTCAGCTTTTCATAGGGATCTTTTCTGTACATTAGCTGCATAATATCCCACTGGGGATTGTGCCGTACCTCATTCATCCAGTTTTTAATCCATAGTCATTTAGGTTGTTTCCAATATTTTGCTGTTACAGTGATACTAAAATGAGTAAATTTGTCCACATATTGTTTCATATTTGTGGAGGAGAATTTTCAGGGTAAATTCTAGAAGTGAAAGGTTGCTAAAGAAAGAGTGAATGCACATGTGATGTTGTTAGATGTTAGGAAAATTCACTCTGGGGGGCCAAGCCTTTCTGCACTCTTACCAGTCACGTGTAGCACAGCTTGCTTTCCCCAGGCTTTCATGCTTTTTAACATTTTGTCAGTCAGGAAAGGAGAACTGGAATCTTGGTGTGTTAAACTAGTTTCTTTTTTCTACAACTTCTAATGCATTGTTATCTTTTGCTGTTGGATTTAGATTGGTTTGTTTGTTTTTTAGAGGGGAAGGGAGGAAAAGAGAGAGGGAGAAACAACAATGTGAGAGAGAAACATTGATCTCTGTCCTCTTGAACATGATCTGACCAGGGACCCAGTTTGCAACCTGGCACGTGCCATGATCAAGAATTGAACCAGCCACCTTTCGCTTCATGGGATGAAGCCCAACCAACTGAGCCTCACCAGTCAGGGCTTTAGTTTTTATTTTTTTTTAAACAATTTTCACATCTATAGTCATGAGCAAGATTGGCTTTCGCTTTCCTTGCTTGAACTGTCTTTTGAAAGTTTTAGTATAAAGATTATGCTGAGGTCAGTAAATGGGTTGAGGAACATAGCCTTCCCTCTTTATCTATTTTCTGAAAGTGTTTGTGTATAATTGGCATTATTGTTTTCTTAAATGTTCAGTAGAATTTATTATTGAAGTTGTTCAGGCCTGGTGCTTTTTTGTAGGAATGGTATTTATTAATCATTGATTCAGTATATTTTGTAGTAGTAGGACTATTCAGATTTTTCCACTCCTGTCCATTTTAATAGATCATCCTCTTTTCTAGGAATTTGTCTAACTTATCTCAAGTCTGCAAATTTGTTCTGAGGAAATTGTAACTATTTTTTTAATTTAAACAAGCTTAGTTTTTATTTTAAAAAATTATTTTATTATTGTGCATGTACAGTTGTCTGCATTTACACTCCACCACTTTTGCCCCCAACCCCACTATCCCTACCTCCCTCCCTGTTCCACCCCAACTTGGTTTTGTCCATGTGTCCTTTATAGTTGTTCCTGAAAATCCTTCTCCCTTCCCCCTCCCCTTTATCCCCTCCCACCTCCCCTCTGGTTACTGTCAGATTGTTCTTATAGCCAAAATTGTTCTTATAATAATTTCAATGTCTCTGGTTATGCTTGTTTGTTGGTTTTCTTGATTAGATTCCACTTGAAGGTGAGATCATATGGTATTTGCCTTTCACTGCTTGGGTTGTTCCACTTAGCATAATACTGTCCAGTTCCATCCATGCGGTTGTGAAGGGTTGGAGCTTCTTTTTTCTTTCTGCTACATAGCATTCCATTGTGTAAATGCGGCAAAGCTTTTTGATCCATTCATGTACTGATGGGCACCTAGGATACTTTCAGAACTTGACTATTGTAAATTGTGTTGCTGTGAACATTGGAGTTCATGGGTTCTTCTGAATTGGTGTTTCAGGATTTTTAGGGTATAATCCCAGCAGTGGAATTGCCAGGTGAAAAGGTAGTTCCATGTTTAGTTTTCTGAGGAAACATACTGTTTTCCACAGTGGCTGCACCAGTCTGCATTCTCACCAACAGTGCGCTAGGGTTCCCTTTTCTCCACATCCTCGCCAACACTTGTATTTTGTTGATTTGTTTCTGATGGCCATTCTGACTGTTGTGGAGTGGTATCTCACTGTGGTTTTAATTTGCATCTCTCTGATGGCTAGTGATGCTGGGCATCTTTTGATATGTATTGATATGTATTGATATGTATGTATCAAACATTTGATATGTTTGATATGTATGTATGTTTGTCCTCCTTAGAAAAGTGTCTATTCAGGTCCTTTGCCCACTTTTAAATTGGATTGTTTATCTTCCTGGAGTGGAGTTGTGTGAGTTCTTTCTATATTTTGGAGATGAAAACCTGTCTGAGGTATCGTAGGCAAATATGTTTTCCATGGATTCCACTTAGGATGCACTTTCCATATGAGGACTTTTTTTTTGAATTCTGGAAATTTTCAATTATTTTTATTATCTTTTCTCCATTCTTCTAGAACTTTTCTCAGTCTATCTGCCATGTCTACTCATTGTTCTTTTATTAAAATTTATTTTACTTTTCTGCATTGCAGACTAGGTGAATTCCTCAGAACTATTCTTTAATTCATTAATTCTCTCTTTAAGTGGGTTCAGTCTTAACTATGTATTTGTTAAGATTTGAAAATTTAATGCTGATATTTTTTATTTCCAAGTTTTCTACTTGGTTCTTCTTCATATATTTCTATAAATTATAGTTTCATTCTGTTTGTTTTTAGTTTGTAGTTTAAAGTGTTCAGGTTCATAGTCCTGCTGACCACCACCCCCGCCCCCAACTCCCTTCCAAACATGGGAAGCACTTATTCTCTCAACAGAACGGATGTGAGTCAGAGGGCAGGATGAGATCCTAAAACTTGGTACCTGATAGCACATGTCTCTTGTTTGAGGAATCTCATATTATACTAATTTTGCATGTGAAGAAATAGACTCTCCAGAAGTGACATGAATGGGCAGAGGATACATTGTTAGTGAGAGGCAAAGAAATATTCAGAGCCAAACTTGTCTCTTCTGGTTTTTCACTATTTTGTGCGTGATTTCATCACTCCATGTTAACTACTTTTCAAGAAATACAGACCCACCTCTAACAAGAGAAAAACAGCTTCTCCCTGCTCACCCTCTTTATTCCTTACAGAGATGTTTAGACGGAAGGTGGCTCCCCAAAAGCCTGCCAAGAAGAAAAAATATACTGTAAGCTCAAACATCAGGGACTTGATGGAAGCAATCCAACATGCTGATCAGGTGAGGACATCTCTGACATCTTCCTGACTCTAGCCAAAGTAGAACCACCTCCACAGTAGCAGCTGCTTAAGTGTATTGCTATTGTGTCAGGAGAATGGGAAGAATTTCCAGTCGGCAGAGCACTGCAGCTCCAGGTCAAGTTCCCACGTCCTTATTCTGACCCATATGTTCTCCACCTGCCTCAACCCTGGGTCCAGCTTGAATCCTCACTCTAGAGTCACCCTTCCTCTTCCTTTCTCAACCAGGATCATTATTCTCCTTTTTAAAAACCTCCATCCTACAACCTTCCTTTCTTATTGAGTCCCCTCTCTCCTACAGGTCCCAGAAGAAGAAATATTTTACATACTCCCATTATTGAACATCAATATCATCCATGGGAATGTAAAATATAACGAGTGTCTGGACTTGGTAGACGTCATTGTCAATTACCTGAGCAAAATGGTGAGGAGCCCATGCCTCTGGGTTGAGGTTTTTTGGGGGAAGAAAGGATCACAGGTCTAAACCCAGAAGTTCCTTTCTGGTGAACTAAGTGGTATATGAGATATAAGTACCTAAAGTTTCTATACAATTTACTAGAACCTATATCTGATATCACAAATGTGTCTCAAGACTGTGATGTAGAAGATAAAGTAAAGAAGTAGAGGGTAGTGTGGGAGAAATGGGATGCAGAGGCCGGGAAGGATTAGGCTTTTGGCTCCAAAGCCTGATCTTGTTCTTCCACTGTGTTCTAAACCTGCTCCTGGGATAACTTAGGCAGTCACCCTTGTTACTGCAACTCAACTAATCACTTCAGTCTATTTACTAAGTGACTTAAATCCACCCACGTGTCTGCTAGCCCACCTTGGGACTGAATATTCATAACCTCTACCCATTCATCTATCCACATACCCATGTACATAATTTTTCTGACACCGGGTAAATCTGGTTTCTGATTTTATTGGTTAACTGCCTACATACAAGGTGTCTTCCAGTTTTTCGGCCTTCCTTGGCATGCCTGCTTTCTGATCAAGACCCCTGACCTATCAGGGACTTTTCAAATTGGCTTCCACCATCTAACCACCTTTCTGATGGTTCACTTGCAGCCACAGGGAAATCTCTGTGCTCTGGATATGTCAACTCCCTTTCCTACCAAACACACAAGCCAGAGACTTTGCAGAGAATTTGCCCTTGTCCTCCATCATGGGAAAGTTGTATGTTGAATGAAGTGGTGGGATTAAGAAATTTAGCATCTGCCCTTTAGATAGAGGAGAGCCACTTATCAACCAAAGTCAATTCTCAGAAGCCCCAGGACTCGTGTTGGATATTAACTTTGGTACAGTTAAGTCGTTCTCTTTCCAGAAGCCAGGACCAAAACTGGAGAGTTTTTGCATTATCACCTTAAAAGGTGTGGGGGCAAAGAACCCACAAATGGTCTACAGGAAGCTGTGGGATAGAGAATACGATCACTGTCTGCCTCCAAAGAGCCTCCTGATTGCGGTTGGGGATCTCTGCCGCTCCCGAGGTACTGCTCCCTGTGGTGGAAGAGTTAGTCTGAGAAGAAAGAAAATGGGGGGAGTAGGCAGTGGGGTGCTGCATGGAGTTTAGAGGTTAGCTTTATCCTCCAGTCGTGGGTGTGTGTGTACAGGGGATGGGAGCAAACTAGGATCCCTGTAGGGCTGATGGGAACTCAGAAGGCAGTTCCTGGAGACTAGGAATGGCACAGGAGGGCACATTAGGGCATGGGACGCGGTGGGGCTGGAGGTTACACTTGGGCACAAAGATGGAAGGCACCGTTCGAGAGTGCTGGGTAGGGGCAAAAGAGAAGGGAGAAGTGCTTTGCTTGGGGGATCCTGAAGTTTTTAATTTGATTAGAAGTTTGGGGGGGTAATAGTGTAGTAAGATGAGGCAGAGAATCGTTACACAATCTCCAACTGGTGGCTGTTGGTGACAGCACTGGCTCTCTTACCCTTTCCACCCACCTCCTTCAGTCACAAATTGTGAAAAAAAATTAGGTTGCTGGGCAACTGACAGTACATGTCATTTCTTTACCACTTGGAATTGAGTGTAGAGATGAGTTGGGAGAAGTCAGCTGGCCTTGTAGGCATTATGTTCAAAATGACAAGGCTTATGGGTTGGGCTGCATAGCACGCTTAGGGGACACAGTAACAGAATCTGGAAATGTGTCTCTCACCTAACCAGGCCAAACGTTCTCACTTCAGAACAGTGAGCAGAGCTTCAGGCAGCACAGCTCCTGTTTCCCTTAAGGGTCCTTGGAAGGGAGTGTGTGTGTGTAGGGTGTGTGCTAACATCCATCATTGCCCTCTATTTTCCCAGCAGCTCTGTGAGGTGGTCATGTTAGAAAGTGTAGTCCTATTTAGCAGCTGAGGAAGCTGAAAGGAGGATAAATTCAGTAATTTGTTCTGGGTTGTCCAGACTCTCTGGAGGCAGAGATGGGATCAGGACCCAAGGCTCCTGTCCCCTAATCAATAAGGTTTTCCACAGTAAGGCTGGGAGTCTCCTCTCCCTGAGACAGGGCCATTTTTCTTGTACTCTCCCTCCCAGGTTCTGCTCTCTTAATCGGGCGCATATGGCAACGCCTTGTGTTATTTTTGAAGATGGCCCACAATGGGAAGGACATGTTGGCGATTTGTCATGGTGAGGATCGGGAGGATTCAAGGAAGGCTTTGTTAGAATCAGGAAGGGAGAAGGGAAGGTCACGAAGAATCTGGGTCCCTCTGCATGTGAATCCAGAAGGCTATGGAAGGGGCAGAGGATGGCTGAGAGCAGGCCTGCTGTGAGTAGATGCTCTTCTCCATATGACCTTTCTTGGCCTGCTTTGGGGCAGGGGCAAGCTAGATAGAGATGCTGTCGGTGTTGACAGCCTTTCTCTTTCACTCTCCCTGTCCATGCTGGGTCGACTAAGTATGGCCTGAAAGGAAAGGCCATTGGAGAGGTGGGGGATGTTTTGGACTTTCTCAGCACAGCACCTTGGAAGCCCTTTCAGGGCCGAGAAGGAGAGGACAGTACTTAAAGGTGTATATGCTTCCCCTTGTGGGAAGAGAAAGGTGATAAGACTCTAACTTCCTGCTCCCCTTACAGCAATCATTGGATTGGTCACCTGTGCCCGGGAACATCTGTGCACTGGGCATGAGAAAGTGATGGCCATCTTTGAAAACGAGTTGTCCTTCAGGGCCGAATGCACTTTCCTGATTATCTGGAACCGATGGTCTTTGAAGAACAAGAACAAGGTGGGAGTTGGAGATAGCAGGAATTGGGCAGATGGGCTGAAGGAGTAAGACTTGAGCCAAAGTTAGAGCACCACAGTGTTTGTCCACTGGCGAGTGGAAGGCTGACTCCCCAGGCTCTTCCAGGAGAGCAGGGCGGTTCTCCTCAGGCTCCTTTAACATTCTTCAGGAAAGGGTAGGGTCAAAGTATACTTCATTGTCCATTCACTTAACTGTTAAATGTGCAGTTTACATCTCCTGATCACTCTTATTGGCCGGGCCCTGTGTAGGCCTTGGTAATAAGAAAATGAATACGGCAAAACCCCTGAGAGCTTGTCCTGCCTTCATCCCTTTGCTGAGGCAAGTTTGTTGTGTCTCCTTGAACACAGGTGACCGAGGAAGTTCTGGTGGTATTTGGCCATGTGTTTTACCTCATGTCACCATCTGAACTCAGGAACCAAGTGAACCGCTTAACCCGATGGTTAAAGACTTTGGTATCTACAAAAGTGACACCTTTCTACATTTCCCAGGTGATTGGGGTGGGGGTAAGAAGGAAATTTAACTAGTTCATGCATTTCCTATTTATTGAGTAGTTCATACTGGAGCTGGCAAAGCGTGGCCCACAGGCCAAATCCAGCTTGAAGCTCGTTTTTTAACTAATGTTTTACTGGAACTCAGCTCATTCTTTGAAAGTCTCTGACTTGCCTCTCACTGACTTCTAGAGTCAGATTGCAAAGGCTCAAGACAAACCCACCTGGATAATCTCCCTATTTTTAAGTCAATCTGTGTGGGATCTTACATGGACAATAATCCCTTCCCATCAACACTTAGATTAGTGCCTGATTGAAAAACCAGGCAAAGGTAGGTGCACACCAGGGGCCTGGAATTTTGAGGGCCATATCAAAATTCTACTTGTGATAGAAATGGTATACAAACATTAGATATTTTTATGCATGGAGGATGAAGAACTGGAACCCTAATTTTCTGATTGTTGTTTCGGCTCTCCTTCCAATATAGTGACATTTCTCAAACCAAGTTCCCCCAACTCCTAATGGGTTTTCCACAGAAAGACGGTGTGTTATTTAGTACAATGGATGGAAAATGCGTAGTTTACAATTAAACAAATTTCTTAACTGTGGGACTTCTCAGAGCCTTCAGCATGTGGTTTAGTCTAATCTTCCAAGAAACAGGTACCAACAAGGAATTGAGGTATAGGAGGCTTATTGGAGGAACACCTATAAGTAAAATCAGGGAAGGAGCCAGAGGAAGCTGGGAGAGTCATCAGAGTGAGTAGCAGGCCAGACCCTTGATAAGGAGAAGGGGAAGGAAGGAAGAATGGTGAGGAGGGAAGAAGAGAGCCAAGTCTTAGATTATAGTGCAGTTCTAAGAGAGTTTCGGCAGCGCCAACAGGGAGTCACTGGGCCAGTGTCACCCGTCAGAAGAGTCCCACATCTCGCCTGAGTAGGCCTGCCTCAGTGGACCTGCCATACTCAGTCATTGGCTGGGAGAAACCTGTGGTCATGTAGCCACAGATTTTTTTAAGTTTTACTTAAAAAAATGTTTATTTTTCTATTTCAGTTGTCCCATTTACCCCCCTTTGCGCTCTTCTACCTATAGCCTTCGTTTTGACACAGTGATGGATTTTATAGTATAGAGGCTGGAGATGTTGGTCAATTATGTCCTCAAGAGTAGGCATCTAAGGGGCACATTGGCCATGGTTGCTCAACAAGTTTCATATGTATTTGTAAATTTTCAAGAGGAGAATTTTTTACTTAATGCAGCACCCATTAGCATCAGGTTTGCAGGGATCACAGTTTGTGGTCTACCATTGCTCTACCGCCTCAAATGTGCTGTCCTTGGTATGTGAAGACTTGACCTTTTTCACATATGTGCTCTGAGTTTTCTCCGTTAGTAGACCAGCCAGTATCTTCTTTACTTGCTCTCCTGTCACATATCTACACGTCACCTAGGGGTAAGGTCTATGAATCTGGAACAGAGGTTTGCTCTGCATCATCAATTAGCCAGTTGGAGGATGAAATTTGTAACCTAACTGCTAGTCTGCAGATTGGTCCAGTAGAGATTCTACCATACATTTTGGAGGGTAGTGGAGTGTTTTGGCTACTTCCTTCTTCTCTACCGCTCCAGGGGATAGTGACTAAAAAGTGAGATATTTGCCAGTCTGTAGCACTAACCAGCTTTGCTTAGGGAAGCTGGCCTAATTTGGGAGTTCATCAGGCAAAGCAAAGTGGAAGAAACGTTAAATATTTAAAATCCAGTGGAGGGATTTCTCTTCTGGCAAAGGTGGAGTAACTGAAGCTAGGGTTACTCCCTTCTGTGAAACAACTAAAACACTGGGCAAACTATATGAGACGATGTTTCTCAAGACATTGAACATCAAGTAACAAAGAACACTGATCCCTGAGAGACAGAAACATCATTAAGCTCTATAATTGCCCAGGCTTACTTTCTTAATATAGTTTCCAGGCAGTGGCAGAGGGAAAGAAAACTCAGGCAGAGTCTGATGGATTTCCTGAGTTGAGGAGATAGTAGTGCCAGTTCAGGGAGACCAAAGTAGTTAGAATTAGCTGGGTGGAATACTAAACAGTGCATGTGTGTGGGGAAATGGTCTCAAGTAAGGAAAAGGACCAAGATTCGAAAGAAGAGTAGAAAAAACTCACACTGGGCCAAGAGTAAAACCTGTTCCCACAAACCAGCTTTAAAATTTCATAATTTACAGAGCACTAGGGTGTAGTACTTGGAGGGGTAGGAATCGAAATTCACAGCAGGCTGAGTGCTCTTCCAGTACTGTCTAACAAATCATAAAAGCAAGACCCAAAAGGATCAAATTATTTCTAAGTAACTTTAACTCTGTTCCAGAAAAACCCAAGAATATGTATAGGAACCCCAGCTATTCACACTGAATAAGGTACCTTAAAATGAGTGGCAGAAAATTAAAAATCACCAGGCATACAAAGAAGCAGGAAAATATGGCCTGTCATTAGGAGAAAATTCAATGAAAAATGACCTGGAACTCACACAGATGTTATAAGGAGCAGATAAGGACAATAAAACAGATAATATAACAGATCCTATTGGTTTAAAAGTAGTGAAAAGATTAAGTAAGTAAGTAGAAACTGGTAAAAAATATTTTTAAAAACATCCAAATTGATCTTCTAGACATAAAGTCTAGAATACCTGTGATAAAAACACTGAATGCCTGGGGTGGTGTGGCTCAGTGGATTGACTGCTTGCCTTGGAAGCAGAAACACACTGGATGTGATTAATGAGAGATCAGACATTGCAAAACAAAAACATTGGTTAATTTGGAGACATATCAATAGAAACTACATAAGCTAAAAGAGAAAAAGAATTAAAAATAAATGAAGAGGAAAGCCTCAATGAGGCATAGGACACCTTCAAGTATCTATTCAAAATTTTTGCCAATTTTCCAAAATTTGCAATTAAATTTTGAGAGTTCTTTATATACTCTGGATACATATATATAATTTGCAGATATTTTCTTCCAGTCTAATACGTGCCTTTCCTTGCTCCTAACAGCTTTCAAAGAACAGAAATTATTCATTTATCAGAAGTGGTGGGGAATCCTGGGTGGAGGGGTGGAAGAATTGAGCAAAAAAGAGAAAAATAGAGAACAAACTCATGGACATGGACAACACTGGTGATTGCCATGGGGTGGGGAGAGATGGGAACTCTAAGTTCCCTCATAAAGGGGAGAGAGAGAAAATTTATTAGAAGAAATAGTACTTGAAAAATTACCAAGTCTGAAGAAAAGTATAAAGCCATTCATCCAAGACACCAAATGAACCCCAGACACAAGAAATATGAAAAAATGCCACCAGGTCAGATCCTGATCGAATTCTCAAAACCAGTGAAAAAGAGAAAATCTGAAGTGCAGCAAGTGAAAAAGAAAACCATGTTTCATATGGAGGAATAAAGATAACAGCAGATTTGTCAATGAAAACAATGCAAGTGAGAAGATAGTGGAATAACACCTTTGAAATACTCGAAGGAGAACACTATTGGCCATCAAAAAAAAAATGAAATGAAATCTTGCCATCTGCAACTGCATGGGTGGACCTAGAGGGTATTGTGTTGTGTGAAGTAAGTCATTCAGAGAAAGACAAATGTGATATGATTTCACTTCTTTGTGGAATCCAAAGAACAAATAAATGAACAAGCAGAAGTGAAACACTCATAGATACAGAGGACATTTTGATGGTTCCCAGATGGGATGGGGTGAGGGGATGGGTGCAAAAGGTGAAGGGATTAAGAAGTACACATTGGTAATTATAGAAAAATCATGGGGATGGAAAGTACAGCCTATGGAATATAGTCAATAATATTCTAATAGCTATGTATGATGTCAGATGTATGGGTACTAGATTTATCAGGGTGATCATCTTGTAAGTTACTTAAATGTCTAATCACCAGGTTGTACACCTGAAACTAATTGAATATTGTCTGTGAATGTAATGGGACACAGAGCACGTCTCTTGATAAAAGGGAACTCCCTCACAATTCTGTCTGAAGGTAGGATTCAGTAATAGGAAAGAGCAGAAGACATAGTGTTGAAGCTACATTACATAACAAAGGCAATTTAATAACCCTGCCCTCTTGAAGGGAAGAAGGCTGCTGCCCAGGGCAAATTGTGCACATGACTACCAGAATGTGCAGTGACTCGTTACATAACCAAGAGGGCAGATGCCCCTCGCAGATGCTTATGCATCAGTGGGAGCTCTTGCCCTGACTAAAGATGGCAGCCAAAACAGTGTCAAAGACACAGGGTCGCTGACCAAAATGAGAAACTCTAATGCACCATAGGAAAAGCCGGATGTGAGGACATACAGGAAGTTCTGAGGTAAGAATTTAAATTCGGGTGGGCCAAATGTCAGTAAGAGAGACACAAGGAGGAGGTCTTCAGAGAAGTCAGCCATGAGCTCTGCTAGAAGGTCTGCCTGGAGAAGATGGTGGCAGTGCTGATGGTGCTGTGGGGACCCTCCAGGCCAAGCACAGACATGTGAGAGGTGCCTGGAGGTGAACTGTGACCGGGAATGCTGAGCTTCAGACTTCTGCTTCTTTGGGGGACATAGGAGAAGTTGCACTCTTAGTATGGGGACTCTTGTTACAGGACTTTAGGGCTTAGTGTAAACTCTCTCCCCCTGGAAATTTTTGCAAATGGACATTCTGGGCCTGTGGCCCTGCTTGATTCATGGACAGGAGCACTCATGGGACCAAGAGAGGCAGAACTCACCAGTGGCTTAGACCATGCAGATGATAAGAGGCAGGGTCCCACACTGGGACAGTGTAGCATGACAATAATTTCCTGAACTACTATGTGGAGGCTGAGAACAGTGCACCCCAGATCCTGAATGAGAAACCTGTTGTGAGAGGATTGCAACTCTGAAACCCACAAGTGCACCTTCCAGAGAGGATGAAGACCTGTTTGTGTGACTGGCTGATAGGCAGATTAAAAATATGGGGACCTTCTGGGCATGGTTTTGGC